TCTCCAGTTCTATCCATGCTGTTGCGAAGGATAGTAGCCCCTCCCTCCCTCCCTCTTTCTTTCTTTTTTTCCTTCCTTCCTTCCTTCCTGCTGTATAGTATTCCATTTTATAAATGAACCATAGTTTTTCGGTCCACTCATTTACTGATGGGCACTTAGGTTGCTTCCAGCACTTGGCTATTGTAAAATGTGCTGCTATGAACATTAAGGTGCATAGGTTCTTTTGAATTGGTGCTTTGGAACTGTTTTCCACAGTGGCTGCACCAGTCTGCATTCCCACCAAGAGTGTACTTGGGTTCCCTTTTCTCCACAACCTTGCCATCAAGAATTTTTAAAACATGCAATACATGACTATTTAGTTAAAGGCACTGACCCTTTTTCCTTAGATTGTCAAATAAAAAAATGACAACAGCCAACCCAGCAATAACTGTCCTGTGTGAATGGATCAAAATTATACCTATTTTTGTCAGACTGGCAAAAATTGTATTTTTTGGTGTGCTACAGAATTTAACTAATTAGTTTATATCTGCCATGAGATGTAAAAGGTTGAAAATCACTGTTCAAAGAGGCTCATTAAAGGGATGGGGTGGGAGCTGGTAAATTAAGAGCACATCTAGGCTTTAGGGATATTCATTGCCAATGGGCTGTTAATTGTTCTTAGGCCTTTTAAATGGGTAGAGATAGGAAATAACTATATATCTCTATCTAAAGACTAACTATACAAAGCTATGTAAAGATGAAATACTTCATGACTTCCTACTGATATTTTCAACTTAAATTTAGGACTACTTTGTTACATGTATATCTCTTCCAATTGAGAATCTTAGTTTTCAGGAATATAAAGGGATGATAGACTATCTCAGTAGTACTTATTTGTTTTATTCACATTACATACATGAGTAGCATTAATAACAACAGTCATATTATTGCCACAATAACATTTACTGAAAATAGTAAAAATATTTTCTTTTGACCTAGTGATTCCTATCCTTGAACCCCGCATTCTAAAAACTGACTATATTTTACCTAGAACATAGATGCTTCATTTCATATTATACTCTCTTCTTTAATCTTCATTTAGTTTTGGTTCTGTAAGTAATTGATATCTTTAATGCTCACCACCAGTCCTTTTGCCAAATGTCTTTTGTCAGTTGGTTTTTCTGATGCTGCTGACAGGTAGGTTCCTCAGGGAGGGCTCTTGGAAACAATATTTCTTCAGGTTTTGCATGTTTATAGAATAATCGATATAAAATACTTGGTTCATATTTTCTTTTTTGACTATCTTAAACATATTATTTCATTTACTTTCAGTATATAAGTTTTTTTGCAGAAAGATGACAGTATAATTTTTTCCCCCTTAAAAGTCTGTCGCTTTTTTTATCTGGAAGCCCCATGGATTTCTTTTCTTCTTCTTTAAAGTCATATTTTACTGGAATATAGTATACAAGTAATTGTTCTGGGTCAGTATTTTTAGATATACAGTATTTTATTTTTAATCCTTACCCAAGGACATGCTTATTGATTTTAGAGAGAGAGGAAGGGAGGGAGGGAGAAAGAAAGGGAGAGAATCACTGATGTATGAGAGAAACATCTGTTGGTTGCCCTTTGTACATCTCCCATTGAGGACCAAACCTGCATCCCAGGCATGTGCCCTGACCTGGAATTGAACCCGCAACCTTTTGGTGTACAGGATGACAATCAACTGAGCCATACTGGCCAGGGCTACAGTATGCTTTTTTACTATGGATTTTCAAATCATTTTTTAAAAATTTCCAGAAAGCTTCTTTAAAAACTTAAATTTGTTGTGTTTCCTTGTTTTGTAATTGCCATCATCTATATGTTGAATTTTCTTTGCGTAGCTTCATTACTTGTTACTTTCTCTTGAATCTCTTTTTTTTTAATTAAAAATTTTTCCTTTTTTCCTGTTCTGTTTATCCTAAATCATTACTTACATTTGTTTTGTGCTCATTCTGGTTTAGTCTTCATTTCTAAAATGATTTTTCTTTTACTTTTTGAGCTTGTCACCTCATTTCTCTGTCTAATTTTGACTTAGGTTATTCCTTACATTTTATATAATTTCCTTAATGTATTTTTACTTACATTGAAATAGTAGGTTACATTTTTATCTGTCTTCTGACTATGTATTTCTGACATGGTTTTATGACTCTACCGTGCTATCCAATATAGTGGCCACTAGCCATATATGGATACTTAATTTTAAATCAATTAAAATTAAATGAAATAAAAAATTTAGCTCTTAAGCTATATCAGCCATATTTCAGTTGGCTACCATATTAGACAGTGCAAGTGTAGAAGATTTCTGTGCCTTCAGGAATCATCTATGAGAAGAAGGGTGTATTGGACTGGAGCCAGAATAAGAAGATGGCCCAGTTGGCAGAGTGGCAGGGGTCCCTCCAGGCTGGAGTGGTGCAGTGGTGTCGTAGTGCAGATGCCCTACCCCTCTCTGACCCTTTACTAGCCTGCAAAGTTGTCCAGAAATAAGTGGCTTAGCCTGGAACCTGGGAGAACCTCTCACAAACTGTGGTCTGGCATAAAGAAACCTGATTAAGTGGTGCGATAAGGCTCCCCTTGGTTGATTCTGGGCCCTACGATAGTTTCCATTTCTGCTGCCCTCCTCCCAGCATTGCTCTGAGGATGGGCCCAGAGGCCTCCTTCCTCCCTTTGGAGGTGTTGGGCTTTGGCCTCAGCCTCCATCTTCATAATTAATGGTTGGAATGAAAAATAAACTGGTATGGAAGATCAGGTCTGGCTCCTTGGGGGACATTTATCTGGCGATCAGCATCACTAGTGGTGAGTAAGTGGCTGTGAAGCCAGAGTTTCAAGGCCAGGCATCCCCAGTTGTTGTAGGAAACCAGCCTCTGTAAGATTCTTCAAGGTGGCCTTGGCATCCCCCTACATATGGGGGTATGGTCAGGAAAAAGAATACTTCTTCCTGTGCTTGCTAGTCATGGATCTTGTTGGACCCAGCCTGGAAGACCTTCAGTTTCTGTTCAAGAAGGTTCATAGTGAAAACTATATTAACTGACCAGATGATTAGTAGAATTGAATATGTGCACACAAAGAATTTTATATACAGAGACATTAAATCAGATAATGTCTTAATGGGTATTGGGCATCACTGTAATAAGTTATTGCTTATTGACTTTGGTTTGGCCAAAAGTACAGTGACAACAGGACAAGGCAACCTGTACCATTACAGAGAAGATAAAACTCTTACTGGCACTGCCCGATAATGTTAGCATCAGTGCACAGCTTGGTAATGAACAGTGTTGCGAAATGACATGGAGTCACTAAGTTATGTTTTGATGTATTTAGTCTCTGCCATGGCAAGGATAAAGGCTGCAACAGGAAACAAAAGTATGAAAATAATTAGTGAAAAGATGTCTGCTACTGTTGAAGTTTTATGTAAGGGGTTTCTTGAAGAATTTGCTATGAACTTAAACTATTGTTGTGGGCTGTGCTTTCAAAAGCCCCAGGTTACGTGTCTCTGAGGCAGCTGTTCTTTTCGGGACCCTGAACCACCAATATGGCTACACATTTGATTGGACAATGTTAAAACAGAAGGCAGCATAGCAGGCAGCTTCAAGTGGGCAGGGTCAGCAGGCGCAAACCCCCAAAGGTTTGTAAGCATGAATGGAGAAACAGAAGAAGCAGTGCAGAGCAGCATTTGTTTCTCCCTAAATCAAGGAATTTTAGTTCATATGTACACTAGCCAGTGGTTGTGGACAACCATTTACTTGGTGTAAAGAACTTCATTTTGGTATAAACTAGCTCTGGGCAGCATTGATCATTCTCTTTCTTGAGCTATAGCTTGCTGTAACTGTGAATATTTTTAACAGATAATGAAACATGGTGTCCAATTTTCTCTTGTATTTTTGCAAGTGGAAAAGTTAACTAAATGGCCGACGCACAGATTGGTGGAGAAACTGTGTATATGCCAATTTTTTGTTAAAATCTTTTACTTTGAGCTATACTGCTTTGAGATCTCATTTCAGAAGGATGGCATGAACAGTATTCAGCCACAGTTGTGATGGTTGTAAATGCTTACACATTCTTAGGGTTTATTCATCTCTGGGGTGAGGGGTGTAAGTTGTTCACTTAAAACTTTCTTAAAATTGTTGATTTCTTGTTTGCAAGCCAGCTGATTTGGTAACAACCAAAGTTTTCAGTGTTTGAACATATGAAAGGCTCTGCCTACTAACCTATGCTAGAAATAACAGTATTTGAAGTGAAGACCTAAGCCCTGGCTAGTGTAGCTCAATGGATTAGATGTTGTCCTGCAAATCAAAGGTTGCCAGGTCAATTCGCAGTCCAGGCACCTGCCTGGCTTGTGGGCCATGTCCCCGGTTGGAGGCATGTAATAGGCAACTAATTGATGATGGTTCTCTCACACATCGCAGTTTTTCTCCCTTTCTTCCCCCCTCTCTAAAACAAAGATAAATAGAATCTTATGAAAAACTTGTAGTGACTACTAGATTATCCTTAGGACTCTGCATTAGCTTTGTAATGTTCTTGGAATAAAAAAAGCATATTTTTCACAGAAATTTAGTTAATATCTTAAAACCGAAAGTATATATATATTGCTTAGATAAATGTAAACACTTCATATTAATTTCATCTTATACTTACTTCGCATATTATATTGAATTGGGCCTGCGTCCTTATACTTTGGCACTTAAAATTGACATTTGTAAGCTTTGTTTTCTACAAAGTACATGTCCTTTGATATCTTCTAAGATAGAATTTTAATGCTCTGTTTTGGTGATAGTAACACCTTCCTCATAGAGTGATATTGGGAGGAGCTAAATGAAATTGTCCAAGGAAAGCTCCTACTTCCTGTCACATAATGGGTGTTCAGTAGATGTTAATTTTTGTTTTTACTGATGTTGTTATCATTTTATTACCTGCTTAGAAGGTTCATGTCTTTATCTTGTTTATAGTTAGAAATTGTTTTTAAAAAATCTTGTCCTAAATGACAGATAGCTGCCGATGAACCTCCACCAGAAGGATGTAATTCATTTTTTTCAGTGCATGGAAGGAAGACCTGTGATTTTGATACCCTTGAGACTCTTCTGCTAACAGCACCTGAGAGGTAGACTGTGTGTTTCTCTCTGTAAATATCATACATTCATTGTGCTTTCTTCTAAATGAAGTCTACTTTCTAATTTTTTAATGGGTTTTGTAGTCTGTAGGTATAGTGGTCTAGAGTATGGATTCTGGAACCAGACTGACTAGATTTGAATTCCAGCTCCATTGCCTAAAATGTCTTGTGAACTTAGGCAGATTACTTAACCTTTCTTTTCTCATCTCATTTTAAAATGGACATAATAAGAGTACCTAATACTGTTACTATTTAGTAATGACTGCAAAATACTGTTACTATTTGGTAATGATCTGAGAAATAACGTAGACTTTGTCATCAGTTGAGTAAAGAATACTCTGTGTATTAAAGCCAATGCATGAAGTAATTATATTAATGATAGTGGTTTCTCAGGATAGTGTTAGTTTCAGACAAAGAAAACTATTTAAAGGATAATTACAAGGTTAATTTGAATATTAAATTGGCAATTAATGGGCTGGCATTTTGCTTAAAAGTCAGTTTACTATGGTGGATAAATACTGGCTTGGCCAAAAAGTTTGTTTGTTTTTTTCTGTAAGAGGGCTCTAGTAGTACTTAGTTGTCTTCAACTTCATTTGAAACAGTTTTGTTAGATTGTATTGTGACAGCTGTCAGATCAGCATGCATTAAAAAAATCTTATCAAAATTAGTGAATTTTTGTGAGCTATTTTAATACTGAAGATAGAAAAATATGCAACATTTTGGCATGTTATGCTTTATTATTTTAAGAAAGGTAAAAATGTAACTGAAATGCAAAAACAAAAAAGATTTGTACAGTATATGGAGAAGGTGCTGTGACTGATGGAATGTGTTAAAAGTGGTTTGCAAAGTTTCGTGCTGGAGATTTCTTGCTGGATGATGCTCCACCATCAGGTAGATCAGTTGAAGTTGATAATGATCAAGTCGAGATATTAACTGAGAGCAATCAATGTTCTACCATGTTGGAGTAAGCCGACATACTCAAAATATCCAAATCAATAAAGTTATTGGTGAAAATGAAAAATGTGTCTTTTATTTTGCAGAAAAAAATGATACAGACTTTTTGGCCAATCCGATATAATGGTACCTCATGCTGTCTGGCAAGGGCATTACCCTTTGTACTCCCTCTACTGGCCTTATAAATAAGATAACTGATCTTTCTCGGTGGTGTTGCTCTGCTGTATCAGAAGTGCTAAGGGTGTTTTCAGTGCGGGTAGTTCTTTAGTTAGGTTATCTGCCCAGCACGTGTTCTCTGCCCCCAAAAAGACATGATTGCTTCTTACTCGAGGTGATAACCAAAATACCCAGTGCATTCTAGCCATGTCAGGATTGAGGTAGCTGTGTGATAAAGTACTCCTTTGGGGACAGCAGAGTTGACTGCTGTCAATTTTACTATGTAAACAATTTTTAAAACAATTGTTTACATAGTAAACAATTTTTAAAACAATTGTTTACATAGTAAACAATTTTTAAAAAATTGTTTAATTTGTTACAACAATAATGCAGACTTTGTAAATAAAAGAGTGACAATGTATCCTCATCTGAGAGGTGATAAGTTTTCACTGGTTTGGCTTATATCCTTTTAGACTTTTTTCCTGAGGTTATAAATTTATACAGGTAGGTTTTGTTTTTACTAGAGCCATTTTTTAGTACATGGAAGTGTAACTCATTAAGAGAGATTGGTGGGTCATAAAGTCTATGCAGTAAAATCTATTATCTTGGTGCTGTTCTTAGAGAAGTGTTTTGGGGGGAAGTTTTAAAATTTATGAGGAAAACAAATATTTATTAATAGGAAGATAATAAAGATGATAGATGCTGCAGTGACAAGTTATATACTTGAAGTATTCCTCTGCTTTTTTGCATTGTTTGTACTCATGTTTTCAGATAAAAGGGTAATTATATTCTACATGGTAGGATAATTTATTACAGTTTTAGTACTATGAAATCTGGATATGTATGTATTTTTCTGGCTTTCCCCCTTCTCTTGGAGTTGGTAACAGTTATTAATTAAAATCTGCATTTATTTACAGACCCAAACCCTTATTGTTTAAAGGCGATCACAGATACCCCTCATCTAATCCTGAGAGTCCAGTGGTGATTTTCTACTCTGAGATTGGTTATGAGGCATTTTATAATTTCCACCGCCAGCTTATATCAAAAAGCAATGCAGGCAAAATCAATTACATATTCAGACATTATATATCTGTAAGTATTGACTTCTTTTATAACTTTTAAATATTATTTTGCTCAGTATGCTTATACCACATAAGCTAATAATTTCCCCTTCTGTAAAATTATTTGAACTAGTTTCTTGAGAAGTGAAGTACTTTTTCATCAAATGTTATTTGCACATAGTGGGTGCTTTACTTGAATTTCTGAAGAAATATATAACAATTATGCTTGAAAAATAGTTTAATAAAGGTTACATCTTATTTCAAAATGGACCATGTAAATTATATTTAATTTGGCCCAGATTTAAGCTATCATTGCTGTCGATCCTCCTGTGGTTTTTCTGTAATTTTGCTCCTGTTGGCCCTTTTTAATTTTACTTCAAAGCTCATAGTATAATCTTCCCTTCTTACCCCATTGTTCCTATCACCCTTCTATGTTTTTCTTACGTTTTAAATTATGTTCTCTCTCTTTCTTCACATCAATTTTATCCCTACTTTTAATTCTCTTTCCTCGTCCCACTCAGTGACATTTTCCCCTTGTTTTATCATCTCATATTCCCTTTGTCATATCTTATAATATTTGTAATCTCTCTTCACCTTTATTAATCTTTACTCAATTGCAGTTGAGATTGCTGATATGGTTGGGGGCTTCTTTTTGATGGCATAGATTTGGTTGTCTGGTAATCCTGCTTTGTTAACCAACACCTGTACAACAGCATACAAGACAAGGTGGGAGTTGTGACTACTAGTAAGCCCATTGGAGAGGAGAACCCACCAACAAAGAAGCCACCAACAAATAAAGCCCAAGTACAACAAGACAGCCCACACAAATGGAAGAAAGGACAACCGTACAGCACCCAGACAAGGACATCGAAGAGACTGCACCACTGAGTCCCACAGAACTCCTACCACAGAAGTCCACTCCATGAAGACAAGCAGGCAAAGCAGAGTGCCCTGAGATGCAGAAGCAAACAAAGTCACCCAAAATGGGGAAATTAAGAAAGAATCCCCAACTGAAAGGAATGGAAGAATCACCAGGGAAAGAGCTAAATGAAATAGAGGCAAGTAATCTATCAGACATAGAATTCAGAAAAGTGGTGATAGGGATGTGCAGGGAACTCAGGGACAACTACAAGGGCCTGAATGGAAACTACAACATCATGAGAAAGGAAATAGAATCTATAAACAAGAACCGCGAAGAAATGAAGAATACATTATCTGAAGTAAAAAACCAATGGAGTACTGTGCAGCAGAAGGAAAGAAGGAACTCCTACCATTTGCAACAGCATGGATGGAACTGGAGAGTATTTACTAAGTGAAATAAGCCAGGTGGTAAAAGACAAATAACCATATGATCTCACATACAACAGGAACCTAATGAACAAAACAAACAAATTAGTGAAATGGAACCAGAGGCATGGCAACAAGGAACAAATTGACGAAGAGCAGAGGGGAGGAGGGAAGAGGATAAGAGAGAAAAGACGGGAAAATACTGTGGCATGGTATATCTGAAATTTTCCTGCCTATGTTCTCCTCTAGGACTTTTATGGTGTTAGGGCTTATATTTAAGTCCTCACGCACCAGTATTTTCACCAATATGTCCCTTAGAGCAAGGGACAGAAAGCAAAAAATAAACAAATGAGACTTCATCAAATTAAAAAGCTTTTTCACAGCTAAAGGAAACATCAGCAAAATGAAAAAAAGGAAACAATTGAATGGGAAAATATATTTGCCAATGATACCTCAGACAAATGTTTGATCTCCAAAATATATAAGGAACTTACAGGACTCCCCACCCAGAAGACAAATAATCCAATTAAAAAATGGGAAAAGGACCTGAACAGACACTCCTCCAAGGAGGACGTACAGAGGGCCCAGAGACATATGAAAGGATGCTCAGCATCACTAGCCATCAGAGAGATGCAAATTAAAACCACAATGAGATACCATTTTACACCAGTCAGAATGGCATCATAAGAAAAACAAATGACAAGTGCTGGGGAGGCTGTGGAGAAAAGGGAACCCTAGTACACTGTTGGTGGGAATGCAGACTGGTGCAGCCACTGTGGAAAACAGTTTGGAATTTTCTCAAAAAACTAAATATGGAACTTGTCTTTTGACCCAGCAATTCTGCTGCTGAGATTATACTCTTAAGAATCCTAAAACACCAATTCAAAGGAACCTGTGCACCCCAATGTTCATAGCAGTGCAATTTACAATAGCCAAGTGCTGGAAACAGCCTACGTGCCCATCAGTAAATGAGTGGTTCAAAAAAACTATGGTACCTTTACACAATGGAATACTATGCAGCAGAAAGAAGGATCTCCTACCCTTCAAGACAGCGTGGATGGAACTGGAGAGTATTATCCTAAGTGAAATAAGCCGGGTAGTGAAAGACAAACACCATATGATCTCTTACTTTAAGTGGATAATCAACAAAAGAAGCAAGCAAGCAAAATAGAACCAGAGACATTGAAATAAAGAACAAACTGACAGTGACCAGATGGGAGGGGGTGCGGGGGAGGGGGATAATGGGGAAAGAAGGATAAAGGTGGTCAATGACCATGTATAGAGGAGTCATGGACAAAGAGAACAGCGGGGGGAGGATTGAATGTGGGAGATGAGGGTGGGTAGGATCGGGGAGAGTAATAGGAAAATGGGGACAAGTGTACTTGAACAACAACAAAACTAAAAAAAGATAAATGGGGAAGGGTCTACTTAAAGAACAAGTATAAATGATCCATGGGCATGGACAAGAGGGTAAGTATTGAGTATGGGAGTGGGTGTGGGCAGAGCAGGGGAGAGCAGTGGGGGGAAATTTGGACAATTGTAATAGAACAATTAAAAAAACACTTAAAAAAATCCTAGGTGATGAATACTCAACCTGAATGTAGTCATGTTCTGTATAATGTGACTTGTAAAGAGCTCTGTAGTAATGGTTGTATACTTGTTCTGCCTACAGAATCTCAGAAAAGAGCCTGTTTATCTCTCTGGCTATGGTGTGGAACTGGCCATTAAGAGCACTGAGTACAAGGCCAAGGATGATACTCAGGTGAAAGGTGAATTTGTAAATTAGACCAAAGTGTTTTCTTGTTTTAAAAATATGAGTTACAGGGGAAGTTGTTTCTTTAATAAAAAGAATAGATTGAGGAATATGTTGAACTTGTGTTTGAATCCATGTTCTGTTACATCTGAGTTGGGTGACATTAAGCAAATTCTCTATTTTGTTTAATGTCCTAATATTTTTCTGTGTAAAGTACAGATAATGATATATGCCTTTTAAAGTATTTGAAGAGAAAACAAGATGTATAGGTAAAGAAATTAGCAGGTTTTTGCACAAAAAATGTTTGATAAGTCAAGTAGCTATTGCTGTTGATGATGTGTAGTCAGAAATAGCCATTAATATGTGGCCCAACATGAAATCATAAACTATCCTATAATTAATGAACAATTTAATGTTTTTTATTATTTTCTGTACTTGGAACAGTTTACTATGAATACTTGTTATCATACTCTAGGGTTTTGAATTTGTCATTTCAACCACATGTTTTCTATACAGTCTTTTTTATTTCTTTTGAGCTCATTTTAATGATAAAAGGATTGGTTTGGGTACATGGAAGATAGTGTAGTAACTCATTTTCTGTTATCAGTAATTCTATCTAAGATTAAGTTGTCTGGTTACATATTCTTTAGAATTTTGATATTGAAAAATTTGTTGATTATTTTAAAGGTATTAATTTTGAAACTTTTAATGTTATTTTCCAAAGCATAAGGGGAAAAATATATTCTTTATTCAGGGACATAAGATATATTATAAACACATTTATTCTCTCTGTTGATTACCATTACAAAATTAGGTATTCAGCATTTTAAATGGTATCATAATTTGAGGGGTTTCCAATTTTTTAATCAAGTTAGTAGTGTTTTTATTTCTAATGTGGATGACTAGACATGTATTTGTTGTGCATTTATAGGAACTGAAGTAAACACGACAGTGATTGGTGAAAATGATCCTATTGATGAAGTTCAAGGATTTCTCTTTAGAAAATTAAGGTATGTATATATACTTTTGGGAAATTGTCTTACTCTATTTAAATCTCCAGTCTCTCTCACATTATAAACATCTTTTTCATTGCTGAGTTACAGAGCTCCCAGCAGTATTTCATATGGGTTATTTGATGAAGAGATGACCAGTTAATTATAGGAAAGAAAGTTTATGATCTCCAGTCATTCTGAGCACATGTTAAATGATACTGTGACAGCCTGCTTATGGCTTAAATTGATTTTCTTTTTTGGGCTTCGAGATTGATGGCATAAAATACACAAGCTATTTTTTTGATTCACATAATAGGAGAAATCTAACTGTTTCAGTCATTGTTTTCCTGAGAAAATCAAATATATTTTATGTTAGAGAAGTCATAGTTATTTACTCATGCTAAACATAGTCTGAAAAAAAGTCAAAAGAGATGTAGCAGAATGTGTAGTAGGCTTTATACATTTTATTTGTATTTGCTCTATATGAAAGAGGATAGAAAATAGTTCTGTTTTAAAGAAAATTTCATAACTATTTCACAGAAGTATCATAGGATTTTACAGTTGAAAAGTCTTCTTAGTTCTTCTTCTAAAAGTTGCGGTTACTTCTGATATGACTTGATAATTGTTCAAAGCCCTGAATTCTGCTGTATCTGAAAGTCTTAATTAGGATGTCTACAGTGTGCTTTTTTTTTAAAGGAACGAATCATGTAGAAATAATATGTGTAGTCTCAGTTTCATATACTGGCTTTAACATTTGGCTGAGTGAAATACCCTAACCAGACTAACATTTAGCAAAGATGACTTAGTTCATGTTAAATTACTGTGGGCATGTTGTGTTCATCCTGTTCATATATGTACATTTTTGTTTAATATCAGTTTTGGCCTCAGATGTATGCAGTCAGAGTCCATTTTTTTTTTTTTTTTTTTTTGGTTGGCTGCAGGTTTCCAGAATTCCTTTAAATATTCATGTGTTTAAGTTTGATATTTGGATAGCATTATGATTCTTTGTATTTATAGCACAAGGATATTGAAGATATTTTTTCTTTTTGGACATTTGGAGTAGTTATTTAGCTACCTGAAGTAATTGGACTATTTTCTGACATTTTTATCATGAAGAAGAGCTTGTAGTGACTAATGGGAAGCGGATTTTTTGGATGGTAAAGAACTGAGTAAATGTTTTACTTTCTGCATGTTGTATTTAAGAAATTTTGATGCTGCACACCTGAAACTGGTACAGAATGGTATTGAATGTAAATTGTGGTTGAAAAATTAAAAATATACAAAAAGAAATTTGAGATTCTAGCATTTCAAAGGGTAGCATAATTCTCTTAGCCATCTGTCTGTCTAAATGATATGTCTCTGCTTCTTATAACTTCTGTTTTACTAGCTTTAAATAGACTGTACTGTATTTCAAGATGAAACTAAACAAAAGCCAATAATCTTGGTTAGCTTGAATTGTATTCATGTAAACAAAAGATTTAGGAGTATGCAATGGAAAGAAATTCGTTTGAGAACCAGTAGTGATATAGAGCCAATTTTATTTTAAGAAGTTACAAATATTCAGAAAAGTTTGGAAAATAATATGAGGAGGGACCCCTGAAAAACAGGAATTATCTTCTTGAGGTGGGCCTCTTGTAGTACAAACTTCCCCTGCTAGCCACGTGTTCTAGGAACCCCTCTGTATCAGTGTACCAGCTGGCGTTGTTGTGAGAGGCTGCATTTGGCTTTAGTGAATTTTTTTTTTAAGACTCAGTGCATTTGCCCATTTTATGATGGGTGATTTAGGAGTGCACCTACCCCACTGTGCTGAGTATTCATTAGTTTGAGACCAAAAAAGTCATGACCCCTGTGCCCCACCCTCCCTATTCACCCAATCTTGCCCTGAGTGACTTTTTTTTTTTGTTTACCTGGATGAAAAAAGTCCTCAGAGGGAAATGTTTTACTGATGTGGAAGAGGTGGAACAAAAAATGGCAGAAGCACTAAAAGGCACCAAAATTGACAAATATAAAAACTATTTTAAACAGTGGAAAAAATGTCTTGATAGGTGTATTGCATCAAAAGGAGAGTACTTTGAAGGTGACTCCAGTTTAAACATGTAAGAATAAATGCACGATATTTTATAAAAAATAAATTCTAGGTTTTTTTGGGTCCCCCCTCATATACCCATGTACTGTACTTACCACCCAAAATTGATTGTTGCTATCATACTTGCTTTTCTGTACCAAAGAACGTTTTATGAAGTTTTTTCCCCAACCTGTGTGTACATTTACTTAAAGAAAGAAAGAAAGAACAAGAGAAAGAAAGAAACATGGTGAGTGAAACACTACAGGTAGAAAAGAGGTCCCTTTTGTTCCCTACTCCCACTTCCAGTCCTCTCCCTCCTATAACCTAGAGAATCACTGTTGTACTGTTTTATGATTTCATTTGTCAATCTTAGGGTTTTTAAATTAACTTATACTTTTCTGTATCAACTTACTTTTTAAGAAAAATAATAATACTTTAATTTTTTCCTATATTGTAGGAGTTTCCTAATATTAAGCCAGGAAAATCATGAAGATAAAATTGGAGCCAACTTCTGAGTGGCTTTGAGAAATAAAAGACACATGAAAAGTACTGATTTTATGCTTCTTTCAGAGACCTGCATCCAGACCTGAAGGGACAATTGAAAGAACTTAGAAAGCATCTTGTGGAGAGTACCAATGAGATGGCACCTTTAAAAGTCTGGCAATTGCAAGGTAATAAAAATAAAAATGTAGAGTAATCACTGGCCTACTTTTTGACTAAATTTTGTGGTATTATAAAAAGGTAGAATTTGAATGTAATTGTATTGATTTGCATGATTCTAAGGTTATCACAGATTATAAAGATAGTGTGACTAATTAAGATTAATCAGAAAAGAAAGTCCTGGGGATCCAAGATGGGTGCAGAGTAGCTGTAAGCTCTGTCCACTTGTTCCCAGCCCTGGACTGGTCTTGCAGCTAAACTGCAGAGCAGTCAACTTGAAAAACCATTTGAGTGTGTGAGCATGTGTGAGTGAGTGTGCATGTATGTGAGTGTGCAAGTGTCTGTCCATCTGTGTGAGCACTCGGGGCAGGTGGCCTGGGCTCTCCTAGAGGAGCTGCCACCACCGCTGCCTGGCCAGTGGTCCTGAGTGCAGCAGGTTTGGAGGGCGCACCATTTAGTGAAATTTACAAAATCCTCAGGGAGAAGTCAAAAGAGCAGCAGTGCCTTGGTGACCAGCCTTGCCACCGTGCCCTTTTGTGCTAAGACAGGCCACACAGCCCACTCCTGGGAGCCAGGTTATGGAACCTGCAGTATTTGGTGGAGAGGGGGCTGTTGCCTCCCTGACCCTGGGCGCTGCTGGAGCCAAAAGCAGGACAGAGTCTGACTGAGAAGGCTGCAGGACAGCTATGGAGCCAGGAGTGCTGGGGAGGAGAGGCCTGAGTGGCACTGGCTGCAGAGGCCTTCCTGGGAGCCCAGTGGTAGGAGCCTGAGGCTGAAACTCATATGGAGTGGTGCAGGAGCTGCACCATCATCCCGTGTTAATAGTTTTGCTGCTGGACTCTTGCCTCCCTTCCCTCATCCCCTCAGGATGGTATGAGACTTGAAAGAAAATGAGGCATACAAGATATATTCTGTTGATTTGTGGGTTTGTGAGACAGAGAGAGAGAGGGGGAGAGAGAATTGGCAGTGTGAGAGACATTGGTGTGAGAAACATTGATCAGTTGCCTCCTCTGTGTGCCCCAACTGTGGATCCAGCCAACACCTAGAAGCTCAAGGCTGAGGTGAATCCTGAGGTGACTTGGAACATTTACTGACATACCCCAGGACCCAGTTCTGATAAAAGCCAGCTTTGTAGAGCAGCTTGGCCCACCCTGGGAACAGCCAAGCCTGGAAGAATCGGCCACAAAATACAAATGTCTTGTAGCTTTTAAAAGACTGCCAAGGGCCGTATGTGGGAAGTACCTAACATTGGCTTCACACTACACTCAAATATCAGATTGGCATCCAAAGGGAGAAACCAGCAGACAAGGACCAAACTCTGCTGAGACCAATCCGCTTTCTTTATTTTTCTTTTTTTACTTTTTCCTTTTCATAGCCCTATTATTTATTTATTTATTTTTTCTTTTATTTTTCCTGCTCTATTTTTTCTTTCATATCTCCTATTTTACTATCTTTGATTACTCCATTGTTCCCTTCCTCTCTCCTTTTATGATTTATGTTACTTTCTCTGTTTCTTTTCCCTGTTTTCCTCTTTCAGTTCGTTACTAGTATTAGTTCTCTTCCCCTTTCTCCTCTCATAATTACTTTTCTTTCCTTTGGTCTTCTCATATTCCTTTTCCTTTTCCCCTTTATGTACTATTCTACTTCTCTTTCCACTTTTATTATTCTTTGCTCTCTCGTCACTGATTGCTGTTACGGTTGGGTGCGGGGGATGCTTGTTCTGGTGGTGTTTTTGTGCTGTTTTGCTTTGCTCTGCCAGCAGCTATACAACAGCATATAAGACATGGTATGGCTTGAGCCCCTTAGTGAGCCAGTGGAAGGGAGTTCCCAATCAATGAACGTGTCAATAACAAACAGGATCCAAATACAAGAGGAGGTCCACATAACCACACAAAGGACATTCCTTGAGCATCCAGATCAGGAGATCAAGGAGTCTGCAGCACTGGGTCCCAACACTGGGACTCTTAACACATAAGGCCACTCACAAGACAGAAAGTCAAAGCAGATCAGTCTAATACGCAGAAACAAACAAAAACGGACAACTAAAATGTGGAGACAAAGAAAAAAAAAAAACAACCTACCAAAGGAAAGGAGGAACTTTCAAAAAGACCTAAGTAAAATTGAGGCAAGGAATTTATGAAACATACAGTTCAAAGTGATGGTTATGAGGATTCTTAAGGAACTTAGAACTACATGGAACTTAGGAGGAACTACACTCGCATGCAAAAGGACATAGAAACCTTGAATAAGAACCAGTTGGAAATGAAGAATGCAATATCTGAAATAAAAATACACTAGAAGGAATTAAAAGAAGGCTAGATGAAGCAGAGTATCGAATATGCAAGTTGGGAGACATAGTAGAAAAACAACACCCAGTCAGAGCAACAAAATGACAAAAGACTCAAGAAGAATGAGGATAGTTTAAGGAAGCATCGGGACATGAAACAACAATATCGCATCATGAGGACACCAGAGGGAGAAGAAAGGGAACAAGGGATATAAAACCTGTTTAAAGAAATAACAGGAATTTATCTGTAATTTGGTGAGGGAGAGAGTCATGCAGATTCAGGAGGCACATAGATCCCAGTCAAAATGAACTGTACATCTAAAAGAACTAGAGGAAATGCAAGCAGCAAAGCCCAGAGTAAGTAGAAGGAAGGAAATTACCAAGATCAGAGGAGAATTAAATGACATAGAGACTAAAAAAACAATCCAAAGATCAGTGAACCCAGGAGCTAGTTTTCTGAAAAGATAAACAAAATTGACAAACCCTTACCAGACTCAACAAGAAAAATAAGAGAGAACCCAAATAAATAAAATCAGAAATGAAAGAGAAGTAACAGTTTATAGCACAGAAATACAAAGGATTGTAAGAAATTATAAAGAACAACTATATGCCAAGAAATTGGATAACCCAGGTGAAATGCAGAAATTTCTAGAAACATGCAGTCTTCCAAACAGAGTCAGGAAGCAGAAAACCTGAATAGACTGATAACAATTAGTGAAATTGAAGCAGTAATCAAACTCCCAGCACAGGTGAAATTTACCAAACATTCAAAGAAGAAAAAACACCTATCCTTCTTAAAATACTCCAAAAAATTCAAGAAGAGGAAAGACTCCCAAACTATTTTTATGAGGCCAGTATTATCCTAATTGCAAAACCTGATGAATATTGTTGCTAAAATCCTCAACAAAACACTAGCAAAATGGATCCAGCAATACCTTAAAAAGGTCATACACTATAATCTCGTGTGATTTGTCTCAGGGATGTGTATATGGTACAATATTTGCAAATCAATAAATGTGATACATAAACAAATGAAAGACAAAAAAAATTACATGATCATATCTATAGATGCAGAGAAAGCATTTGATAAAATCCAGCACCCATTTATGATGATAACTCTCAGCAAAGTGGGAATAGAGAGAGAATACCTCAACATGATAAAGGCCATAAATGAAAAACCTACTGCCAGCAACACTCGGGCAAAAACTAAAAGCATTTCCCTTAAGATCAGAAACAAGACAAGGGTGTCCACTTTCCCCATTCGTATTCAACATAGTACTGGAAGTCCTGGCTACAGTGATCAGACAGGAAAAAGAAATAAAAAGCATCCAAATTGGAAAGGAGGAAGTAAAACTCATTATTTGCAGACAACATGATAGTATACATAGAAAACCCTATTAGCTTCACCAAAAAACTACTCGAGCTAGTAAGCGAATTTGGCAAAGTTCTGGGATAAAAAGTCAATATTCAGTAGTCAATGGCATTTTTGTACACCAACAATGAACTATAAGAAAAAGAAAGGAAAAAATCTATAGCAACAACAATAAGAGAGTACCCAGCGATAAATTTAACCAAGGTGTTAAAAGACCTGTACTCTAAAAACTAGAATACTGAATAAAGAAATTGAAGATACTAATAAATGGAAGCACAGACCATTCATGGATTGGAAGAATTAACATCATTAAAATCTGCTTACTACCCAAAGCAATCTATAGATTCAATGCAATTCCTAATAAAATACCAATGGCATATTTCACAGGTCTAGAATAAATATTCCAAAAATTTATATAGAACCAAAAAAGGCTCCATACAGCTTCAGCAATACTGACAAAAAAGAACAATGTTGGAGGGGTCACAACTCCTGATATGAAACTATACTACAAGGCCACTGTAATTGAAACAGTCTGGTACAGGCATAAAAACAGACACAGCTCAATGGAAAGGAGAGCTCAGAAATAAACCCATGTCTCTATGGTCAATTAATATTTGACAAAGGATGCATGAGCATACAATGGAATAAAGACAGTCTCTTCAATAAGTGGTGTAGGGAGAACTGGACTGGTACATGCAAAAACATGAAACTATACACCAACTTATACGACACACCAGAATGAACTCAAAATGGATAAAAGACTTAAATATAAATTGAAGGTTCATAAAAATCCTAGTGAAAAACATAGTATAATTTAAGATATCTCACATAGCAGTATTTTAGCCGACGTATATCCTAGGGCAAGGGAATTAAAAGAATAAACAAATAAATGATTCTATATCAAATTAAAAAGCTTTTGCATGGCTAGATAAACCATTATCGAAATGAAAAGGGAACTGACTGTATGGACATATCTGCCAATGATACATTGACAGGGGTTTAATCTCCAGAATATGTAGAGAATTCATATGACTCAACACCAGGACAAATAATCCAATTGAAAAAATGGGCAAAGGACCTGAATAGACACTTATATAAGGAGGACATACAGGTGGCCCATAGACATGTGAAAAAATGCTCAACATCACTAGCCATCAGACAGATGCAAATTAAAATCACAATGGGGTATCATTTCACACCTGCCAAAAATGCTGTCATTAATAAATCAAACAGCAAATGCTGTTGAGGATGTGGAGGAAAGGGAACCGTAATGCACTGTTGGTGGGAATGGACTGGAACAGCGACAATGGAAAATAGTATGAAGTTTGCTCAAAAAATTAAATATGGGACTGACTTTTGACCCAGCAATCCCACTGCTGGGATTATACTCTAAGAATCTTGAATTGCCAATTCCAAAGAATTACATACTGCAATGTTCATAGCAGCACTGTTTACAGCAGCCAAGTGCTAGAGACAGCTGAAGTGCCCATCTCTAAAGGAGTAGATTAAAAAAAACTTTGGAATGACTTCTGGCCATGATGGAGGAATAGGTAGATACTCTTTACCTCCTTGCACAACCAAAAGAGGGAGAACAGCAAATTTAAAAACAATAAACAAACAGAACTGCTAGAAAATAGAACTGTATGGGAGTCTGACAGCCAAGGAATTAAAGAAGAAACATTCATCTGGACTGGTAGGAGGGGTGGAGACGGGCAGTCGGGGCAGAGGATGTGTGGCAAGGCAGCGGCTGGAGGAATGGGCTGGTGAGGTGGCAGCTGGTGGACTGGGTGGTCCCACTTTTGGGTGTGGATAAACTGGAAGGAACAGCTGGGGAGCAAAACACACTGCACAACCCAGGGTTCCAGTGTGGGAAAAAGAAGCCTCAAAACCTCTGGCTGTGAGAACCTGTGAGGGTGGTGGTGGTGGGAGAAGCTCTCAGCCTCAAAGGAGAGTCTGCTGGAGAGACCCACGAGGTCCCAGAATGTACACAAACCCACCCACCTGGGAATCAGAACTGGAAGGGCCCAATTTGCTTGCGGGTAGTGGGGAAAGAGACTGAAAGCTAGCGAAGAGCCAAGCAAGCAGCAGTCTTCTCTCTCTGACCCCTCCCCCACACAGAGCATCACAACTCAACGACCTGGGTTGTCCTACCCTGGCAAACACCTAAGGCTCTCCCCGTTCCATGGTAACAGGAGCACTGAGACAAAGAAATAGGGCCAAATGAAAGAATAGATCAAAGCTCCAGAAATAGAACTAAGTGATGAACAGAGAGCCAACCTCTCAGATGCACAGTTCAAAACACTGGTAATCAGGATTCTCACAGAAATGGTTGAGTACGGTTGCAAAATAGAGGAAAAAGCGAAGGCTATGCAAAGTGAAATAAAGGAAAATATACAGGGAACCAGCAGTGAAGGGAAGGAAACCAAGACTCAAATCAATGATTTAGAGCAGAAGGAAGACATAAACATTCAACCAGAACTGAATGAAGAAACAAGAATTCAAAAAAAAATGAGAGGCTGAGGAACCCCGGGACAACTTTAAATGATCCAACATTAGAATCATAGGGGTGCCAGAAGGAGAAGAGGAAGAGCAAGAAATTGAAAACTTGTTTGAAAAAATAAGGAAGGAGAACTTCCCCAATCTGGCCAAGGAAATAGACTTCCAGGAGATCCAGGAAGCTCTGAGAGTCCCAAAGAACTTGTACCCAAGGAAGCACATACCAAGGCACATCATAGTTACATTACCCAAGATTAAAGGTAAGGGCAGAATCTTAAAAGCAGCAAGAGAAAAGGAGACAGTTACCTACAAAGGAGTTCCCATAAGACTATCAGCTGATTTCTCAAAAGAAACCTTGCAGGCAAGAAGGGGCTGGCAAGAACTTTTCAAAGTCATGAAAGGCAAGGACCTACATCCAAGATCACTCTATCCAGCAAAGCTATCATTTAGAATGGAAGGGCAGATAAAGTGCTTCCTAGTTGAGGTAAAGATAAAGGAGATCATCATCACCAAGCCCTTAATATATGAAATGTTAAAAGGACTTATCTAAGAAGAAGAAGATCAAAGCTATGAACAGTATAATGAACCTAAGAAATACAGAAACAAAAACAAACTAAGCAAGCTTCTAGAACAGGAACAAGAATCCCTGAAATGGAGATCACATGGAGGGTTTTTAGTGGGCTGGAGGGGGGTGGAGAAGAGGGGAAAAGGTAAGGGGAATAAGAAGCATAAATAGTAGGTACAAAATTGACAGGGGCTGTTAAGAATAGTATAGGAAATGGAGAAGCCAGAGACCTTATATGTAGGACCCATGGACATGAGCTAACAAGGAGAGGAATGGTGGTTTGTGGGGCAGTGCAGGGTGAAGGGGAACATGGGAGGAAAAAAATGGGACTACTGTAATAGCATAATCAATAAAATATACTTTAAAAAACTGGTACTTTTACACAATGAAATGTAGCAGAGAAAAAGGAATTCCTGCTTTTTTGTGATAGCATGGATGGAACTGGAAACTGTTATGCTAAGTGAAATAAGTCAGTAGGTTAAAGACAAATATCTCACTTATAAGAGGAATCTAATAGAGAAACTAATGAGCAAAATGGAGCCAGAGGCATGGAGTCATGGAATAGACTGATGGCTGTAAGAGGAGAAGAGGGAGGTGGGGAATTGTGAGAGAAGGTGAAGGTATTAGTTAAGGAACATTCATGAGGTACCCATGGACAAGGACAACGGTGTAGGATTGACTAGGGGTGTGGGTGGTAGGCTGGATGAAGGGATTTAAGGGGGAGATAATGGGACATCTGTTTAGGATAAACAAATTTAACTATGAACTAAATCTCCATTTATAGACAGATAACACTCTGGTGAATTAATACATGTAAATGAGTGCCAAATCTTCCTTTGTATGACCAGATGCATATACTTGTAGTATAGAAACATATTGTCTTTGTCCTCATGTGTTTCTTTGTATACTCTTACTAAACAATGTGTTTATTGAATGTCAGAGTCCTGACAGTATGTGAGAATGTATGTTTGTGCTTCTTGTACAAAGAACTATTTATCAAGTATTTTTCTTCAACATAATTTATTAAAGTCTTTTTGTTAAACTTTGAGATTTGTTGTAAATTTAGAAGGAAAAGGATTTGAGATGGATTTATCCTGTGCTAAATGTTTTTGTATATGCCCTATTGTTTTATACAGGTAGATCAGGAAATGGTTATAATAAACACCATAGGGACTGAGGAAGCCAATATAAGCTGAAATTAAACAACAGGCACTCTTTGGAATGGTTGTATTCTAAGGCATTCTTAGTTCCCAATAAAATAGTGGGAGATAGATGTGATTTTTTCCTATTTCTTATTGCAATATATTAATATACTTTATATTGTATTTGACATTGTTGCAGATCTAAGTTTCCAGACGGCTGCCCGAATATTGGCTGCTCCTACTGAATTAGCTTTGGTTGTTATGAAAGATCTTAGTCAAAATTTTCCTACTAAAGCCAGGTAATGTAGAATAATAAGGTTTCGAGGCATTCATCTCCTGAACATATTCCTAATTATCTTCATGTTTGTATCCAAAATGAAGCAATTAACATATACAAGTGTTTAGAAAAGGAAAGTTACCTTACTTCTAACACCATACTGCTAATGGTACTCTCCTGAGAAGGTGGCAAAATTCTGTATTGTATGGTTGAAGAGACCCATATTGGTTGTATACCTGGCACCACACTTCGTAGTTTTATGAACTTTGTTAATAAACACTTTCCTAAGCAGTGAAATGGAAATAACAGTAACTGCCTTTCTGGATTGGATGAGTTAACAAAATCTAACCATGTCAGACACAACCAATCTAGGGTCTCACATGGATGATAGTGTTTTTCTTTCTAAGAGTTTCGTATATACCATCTTATTTAATCTTGATGAAGAAAATGGTTTATAGAGGCTGATTTACAGAGTAAGATTTTGAATACAGCTTTTCCAATATTGCTTTCAATTGTATAATTGTCCTCCACATCTCATAAATGCAAGGCAAAATTGTTTTAAAAGTCACATTTTTAGAATTTCTTTATTTGATTAGTCTTGAAAATACTTCTCACACAGGACTTATAAATCACATAGTATATTCTCCTTTATCCCGTTTTTACCACAGGTGCTGAAATAGAATGAGCTGTCTGTTGCCTTAATTTATTTAACATCATTTAACCTGTGAGTTGTAGAGATCATATACAGGAATAAAGTTGCATATACTTAACTAAGATCTTGGAAATAACTGCACTTACACTAAAATGCTGCCATAACAGCTACTTTTCCTTGGTATTATATCTTGTAATGATGAAAAAATGCACATCTGAGAGGAGAAATATATTTATCAATTGTAAATGTTTAAAGTTTGTTTTCATAATTTATTAAGCAATTTATTAATTCATACATAAATATAGGGAAATTGAAGATGTTTATGTCAACTATTAACCTAAGCACTGATAATATTTTTATTTCCTTAGAGCCATAACAAAAACAGCTGTGAGTTCAGAACTTAGAAGTGAAGTGGAAGAAAATCAGAAGGTAATAACAAATGGGAAATAGTGGCCTTTCTGTTTTGTATTATATCCTTAAAGATGAGTAAGTCTGAGGTAAATCAGTGACATTAATAGTTTTCATCTTGTTTGATCAAAGATGGTGGTATTTTGATTCATTTCTGTAATCTTTTTATGTTTTTACTTTTTAATCAAAGTAGAATATGAATATCATTTAAAGCACCAAATGGTGCCATCTGTTTATCAACAAAAATAGCTCCCCCTAACATGTCTCACTTCATGTTGTGTCCCTTCTCTCAGAAACATCTCCTTCCAACTCTTGCTGATTCTTCAGATTTGTAACAAGCGTAAATTGGTATTTATTTTTGAGATTCAGACTTATTTTTGACATCCTAATTTAAAGATGAGGTTTAACTTTTATTGCCCTCTCCCACGTCTGAAACAACTCCATATTTGCACTTTCCCAATCTTTTCACTTTCCCTGTATTTTTGTGTCGTGATTTTATCAATTTTTGATCTGCCCCATTATGGACTGGTTATTTATGTTTAGTGCATAGCAAGTATCCCAGGGACCTCCCTTTAACCTCTTCTGTTCAATCTCCTATTCCTTGAATTCCAGGTGTTCTTTGTTTTTGTTTTTTCTTATTTTTGTGCAGCAAATCATTCCTTCTTTAGAAAAAAAATTTTATTGTCTTTCTTTCCATTATCATGTAGTCCCCTTATACTCTCCCATTCCCCCTGCAATCACCAAACTGTTGACCATGTCGTGAGTCCTTTTTTCTTTTTTCTCAGTCTCTCTACCCTTTAACCTCCCCACCCCTTAGCTCTCATCCTGCTCTCTATGAGTGTGTCTTTATTTTCTATGTTATTTCAGTTTGTTCATTAGATTGCACATACGAGTGAAATCAAATGGTATTTGTCTTTCTCTGACTGGCTTATTTCACTTCCCATAATGTTCTTCAGGTCCATTCATAGTGTCGCAAAGGGTCAAATTTTCTTCTTCTTCTTCTTCTTTTTATGGCCAAATAGTATTCCACTGTGTAAATGTCCCATAGTTGTTTTATACACTTATCTACTGATGGACACTTGGGCTGCTTGCATATCTTGGCAATTGGAAATAATGCTGCAATGAACATAGGGGTACTTATGTTCTTTTGAATTAGTATTTTGGGTTCCTTTGGACATATTCCCAGAAGTGGGAGGTCTGGTTAAAAGGCAGATTCATTTTTAATTTTTTGAGGTATCTCCATACTGCTTTCCAGAGTTGCTGCACCAGTCTGTATTTCCACCAGCAGTGCAAAAGGGTTCCCCTTTTTCCACATCCTCATCAGCACTTGTTTGTTGATTTATTGATGATAGCCATTCTGATAAGTGTGAGATAATATCTAATTGTGAGTTTAATTTGCATTTCTGTGATCATTAGTGATGTTGAGCATCTTTTCATATGTCCATTGGCCATCTGTATGTCCTCTTTGGAGAAGTTTCCATTCAGGTCCTTTGCCCATTTTCAATTGGGTTGTTCTTAATTCTCCTTTCAATTAGTTCATCATTGGCATATAAAAATGCAACTGATTTCTAGATATAAATTTTGTGTCTGGCTACTTGACTGAACTCATTGATCAGTTCTAGCAGTTTTTTTGTGGAATCTTTGGGGTTCTCTATGTACAGTATCATGTCATCTACAAATAGAGACAGTTTTACTTCTTTGTTTCCAATTATGGTGCCTTTTATTTCTTGTTCTTATCTGATTGCTGTGGTTAGGACTTCCAGTACTGTGTGGAATAAGAGAAGTGAAAGCAGACATCTCTGTTGTATTCCCAATCCTAAGGAGAACGCTTGTAGCTTTTGCCCATTGAGTATGATGGTGGCAGTGGGTTTGTTGTATATGGCCTAATTATGTTTAGATATGTTCCCTCTATTCCCACTTTGGTGAGAGTTCTTATCCTAAATGGGTGCTGGATTTTATCAAATGCTTTTTTGCATCTATTGATATGATCATGAGGTTTTTATCCTTCCTTTTGTTTATGTGGTGAATCACATTTATTGATTTGTGAATGTTGCACCAATCTCACATTACCCTGGAATAAATCCTTGATCATGGTGTATGATTTTTTGATGCATTGCTGTATTTGGTTTGCTAATAGTTTGTTGAGGATTTTAGCATCTATGTTCATCAGGGATATCGGCTTACAATTTTCATTTTTTGTAGTGTCTTTACTTGGTTTTGGAATTCAGATAATGCTGGACTCGTAAAATGAGTTTGGGAACTTTTCCTCCTCTTCAGTTTATTTTTTAAAGACATTACTTATTTTTTTAAAATATATATTTTGTTGATTATGCTGTTACTGTTGTCCCATTTTTATTCTCCCCTTTATTTCCCTCTACCCTACAGTGCCCAAGCCCCCCAGCATTACCCTGCCCCTTAGTTCATGTCAATAGGTTATATATATAAATTCTTTGGCTTCTTCATTTCCTATACTATTCTTAATCTCCCCCTGCCTATTTTGTACCTACTATTTATGCTTCTTATTCCCTGTACCTTTTTCTTCATTTCGCTCCCTCCCCCTTCCCTCTGTTTTACTGTTCATCATTTTTGATCTTCTTCTTCTTAGATAAGTCCTTTTAACATTTCATATATTAAGGGCTTGGTGATGATGATCTCCTTTATCTTTACCTCAACTAGGAAGCACTTTATCTGCCCTTCCATTCTAAATGATAGCTTTGCTGGATAGAGTGATCTTGGATGTAGGTCCTTGCCTTTCATGACTTTGAAAAGTTCTTGCCAGCCCCTTCTTGCCTGCAAGGTTTCTTTTGAGAAATCAGCTGATAGTCTTATGGGAACTCCTTTGTAGGTAACTGTCTCCTTTTCTCTTGCTGCTTTTAAGATTCTGCCCTTACCTTTAATCTTGGGTAATGTAACTATGATGTGCCTTGGTATGTGCTTCCTTGGGTACAAGTTCTTTGGGACTCTCAGAGCTTCCTGGATCTCCTGGAAGTCTATTTCCTTGGCCAGATTGGGGAAGTTCTCCTTCCTTATTTTTTCAAACAAGTTTTCAATTTCTTGCTCTTCCTCTTCTCCTTCTGGCACCCCTATGATTCTAATGTTGGATCATTTAAAGTTGTCCCGGGGTTCCTCAGCCTCTCATTTTTTTTTGAATTCTTGTTTCTTCATTCAGTTCTGGTTGAATGTTTATGTCTTCCTTCTGCTCTAAATCATTGATTTGAGTCTTGGTTTCCTTCCCTTCACTGCTGGTTCCCTGTATATTTTCCTTTATTTCACTTTGCATAGCCTTCGCTTTTTCCTCTATTTTGCAACCGTACTCAACCATTTCTGTGAGAATCCTGATTACCAGTGTTTTGAACTGTGCATCTGAGAGGTTGGCTCTCTGTTCATCACTTAGTTCTATTTCTGGAGCTTTGATCTATTCTTTCATTTGGCCCTATTTCTTTGTCTCAGTGCTCCTGTTACCATGGAACGGGGAGAGCCTTAGGTGTTTGCCAGGGTAGGACAACCCAGGTCGTTGAGTTGTGATGCTCTGTGTGGGGGAGGGGTCAGAGAGAGAAGACTGCTGCTTGCTTGGCTCTTCGCTAGCTTTCAGTCTCTTTCCCCACTACCCGCAAGCAAATTGGGCCCTTCCAGTTCTGATTCCCAGGTGGGTGGGTTTGTGTACATTCTGGGACCTCGTGGGTCTCTCCAGCAGACTCTCCTTTGAGGCTGGGAGTTTCACCCTCGCCGCAACCCCCGCAGGTTTTTACCTCTAAAGGTTTAGAGGCTTTCTTTCTTGCACTGAAACTGTGGATTGGGCAGTTGCTCTCGCTCTCCAACTGTTCCTGCAGTTTATCCTCCTACAGATATGGGACCACCCAGTCTGCCAGCCGCTGCCTCGCCCACCTGGTTCTCCAGCCACTGCTTTGCCGCCCATTCTCTCTGCCCTGGCTGCCAGTCTCTGCCCTTTCTACTGATCTGGATGAATGTTTCTTCTCTAAGTCCTTGGTTGTCAGACTTCCCTACAGTTCTATTTTCTGGCAGTTCTGGTTATTTTTTGTTTATAAATTTATTGTCCTTTTTTTGGTTCTGTGAAGAGGCAAAGTGTATCTATCTACCCGTCCCCAGTCTTCTTAAATTTATTGAGACTTGTTTTGTGTCCTAGCATGTGATCTATCCTATAAAACATTCTATGTGTATTTGAAAAGTATGTATATTCTGTTGCTTTGGGGTGAAATGCTCTGTAGATCTCAATTAACTTTATTTGATCTAGTGTGTTATTTAAGGCTACTGTCTCCTTGTTGATATTTTGTCAGGAAGATGTATTTGAAGTCGATGGGGTGATAAAGTTCCCAACTATGACTGTATTTCTTTTGATCACTCCCCTTATGTCCATGAAGACTTGCTTTATGTATTTAGCTGTTACTATTTAGGGCTCTGAAATGTTTACCTGGGTTAAATCCTCTTGTTGGATTGTTACCTTTATCAGTATGTAGTGTCCGTCGTCGTCTCTTACTATAGTCTTGGTTTTAAAGTCTATTTTGTTGGATATAAGTATTGCTACCCCAGCTTTTTTTTCCTTTCTATTTGTATGAAATATCTTTTTCCATACAATTATTATAATCTGCTTGCATCTTTCCATCTGTGGTGGGCAGCATATATATGGGTCTTGTTTTCTTATCCCTTAACTACCCTATGTCTTTTGGTTGGAGCATTTAAGGCTTTTATATTTAAGGTGATTATTATAGAGGCGTGTATATGGTGCCATTTTATCGTTAGCCTATTGTCCTCTGGGTTTTTTTTTCCTTCCCCTTTTTGTTCTAAAAGCAAGCCCTTTAACATTTATTGCAATACTGGTTTCGGGTTAACAGACTCCTTTAGCTTTTTCTTGTCTGGGAAGCTCCTTATTTCTCCTTTGTTTTTAAATGATAGCCTTGTTAGTTAAAATAGCCTTGGTTGTAGATCCTTGCTTTTTATCTCCTTGAATATTTCATGTCACTGATTTCTGGCCTGACATGTTTATTTTGAGAAATCAGATGACAATATAATTGGTCCTCCCTTGTATGTAAATACCTGTTTTTCTCTTGTGGCTTTTAGGGTTCTCTCCTTGTCTTTAAGTCTTGCCATTTTAATTATGATGTGTCTAGGCGTAGGCCTGTTTGAATCCAACTTGTTTGGAACTCTGTGAACTTTGTGGAAAATGTGTTTCTTTCCTCACCAGATCTTTTTGGTCATTATTGCTTCAAATAGGTTTTTAATTCCTTGCTCTCTGTCTTCCTCTGGTATTGCCATAATGCAGATGTTGTTAAACTTCATGTTGTTCAAAGGGTTTCTTAAGCTCGCCTCATTTTTAAAAAATCTTTTTTCTTTCTGCTGCTCTGCCTTGGTGTTTTTTTCCTACCTTGTCTTCCAAATCACTGCATCGATTCTCTGCTTTATTTTACTTACTGTTTCTTCCTTCCAATGTATTATTTATTTCAGGTATTGCATTCTTTATTTCTGACTGGTCCTTTTTTATGCCTTTCATGTCTTTTTTCACGCTATTGAGTGTCCTTATAACCATTACTCTAAACTCTGTATCTGATAAATTGCTTGTTTCCGTTCATCTAATTTTTCTTGTAGAGAATTCTCTTGTTCTGTTATTTGGGGTCTGTTTATTTGTGTTCCTATTTTGGCTACTTCTTGTATTTGTTTTTATGTATTAGGTAGATCTGCAAAGACTGTAGTGTAGGCCTTTGTCAGATGTTGCTGTTGACTGGCCCCAGGCAACTTGTTGGAACTATCAGTGATCCACAGTGTTGCTCCCATGCTGGGCCTGTTTATGTGTAGAAAGAACCAGGATGTATACTAAGGCTGGCTTTTACCAGCTCCCAGGGGATGGTCAGCTAAAGTCTCAGAGCTCCCAGAGTTCTACCTTAGTTCTTATACTTAATCAATGATACAGCCTCAAGCTGTACTCAGCAGCTGGGCTTAAGCTCCATAGGGTGGGGCAGAGTAATTTTTGTGCACAGTGCTATTGTTTTCCTTCAGGGTGATGTCACCTGGAGGGGAGTGGTCTGCAGTATTGGGCATGACTCAGCACAGGGATCCTGGTGGCTGTTCCTTTAGTTCTCTCCCTGGAACCACCAACACCAGACTCTCTTCATGTGTCTCTAGTCTATTCTGCTCTTCTGCTGGAGCCCAGGATAAGTGGCTGCAAACGAAATTTTGTGTGTTAGCCCTTTAAGAGGTTTTCTGCATTTCCAGTCATCTCTTTCTGGAGGGTAGAAACCCTGCTGCTTTTCACAGCCGTATTTTATTTGGGTTCTTTTCCTGGCTCTGATGCTTTAAGCTGGGGCATCCAGCTTGGGTTTAGACCCCACACTTCTCAGGGGATATCCCTGGCTGCTGAGATATCCCTCTAGCACTTTAGCTGCTACCCGTGGGAGCTCAGCCAATCCTCTTACATCTCCTCTGCAGTTCTTTCCAGTGTCATTGTGATGAAGTGTTTTTGTCTATCTGTCCTTGGTTATAAGGCTTCTCTCCAGCTGGTGTTCAATTGGTACTTCTGGGTGATTTCTTTACAATTTATTTGTAATTCCAGATTGGTCCTGGGAGGAGGTTAGTGTAGCTTCCACTTCCTCTTCTGCCATCTTGGGTCTCAACCCCAAATCATCATTCTTCATGAGAAAAGTTGCATGCAAGGTAGATTTCAGACACTGAGAAATCAATTTTCTATTTTTTTAATTAATAATTTGCGGGGTATAGAATGTTACATTGGAAGTAATTTAGAAGTTTGAAGACGTTGCTACTTATAATTTTGATTTCCATTGCGGCTATTGAGAAATGAAGCCTTTTTATGATACCTGGTTTTTCTTTCTGGAATCATTTCGGATCTTTTCTTTTACCCTACTAATTTCACAATTACATGTCATTTTAAAAAGTCTCTGTACAGTTGGGTAGTTGGTAAGTCCTTTAAATCTGCAAAATCATTTCTTTTCTTTTTTTCTTATTTTTGTTTGGAGAGCATGTTTATTAAAGCCGGGGACAGTGAAACAGGGAAGGGCTTAGGATATAAGAAGCAATAGGAGAAAGCCTAGGCGAGCCTTCTTTGACTCTTTGGAAATGTTATAGGAAAGAAATGAGCCTAGGTGAAACTGCTTTGGCTCACTGGAAAGTCTGAAAAAAGAGGGCAGTAGAGACAGGTTCAAGGGATTAGCCTGGGACAAGGTGCACCTGCCCATTGTTCGCTTGGTTGCAAGTGTTGTGGGGACCGTTTGAGTTTATGAAATGCATGCTTGAGAGGGAAAAGAGGTGTGGGTGTGTTCCCAGGTGGGAGAGTGCTGGGAAAATAATTTCCTTTAGTATGGGGAAATTTTTTCCCTATTTTCCAATTCTTTTGTTTTTTAAATATTCTTGGAAGGATTTTCAACTCGTTGTTTGAGCTCTTTACTGTGATTGTCACATTTTTAATTTTCAAGGATTATTGTGGTTCTTGTGTTCATTTTTTTATGGTGTTTTCATATTCTTCTGAAGATTGCAATGGGGCATGTGTATATTTTCTTATTTTGCATAGCCCGCTTTCTCTTAATTGTCCTTTCTTTTTGTTTTGGTCTATTATCTTTAATGTTAGAGGATTTTCAGGATGTCTGGTGATTTGTGACAAGCTGCTCATATTTAAGAATGAGGGAGTCAAAGCTGATTGGAAACTCTGTGCATAAAGCGTTTTGACTGTAGGCTTTCCTGGAATGGCCACTTCTTAGGGAATGCTGGTGACAGTATCTTTTTTTAAAAGCCTCACCCAAGGATATGTTATAGATTTTAGAGAGAGAAGAAGGGGAGAAAGAGAGAGAGAGAAACATCAATCAGTTGCCTCCTGTATGTACCCTGACTGAGGTTCAAACCTGCAACTTAGGTATGTGTTCTGACCAGGGATCAAACCTGCAACCTGTTGGTGTATGGGACGACGCTCCAACCAACTGAGCTGCCCGACCAGGGCCCCAATGACAGTATCTTTAAACCTTTCCCTTTGGGCTGTTTAGTCTCCAGAAGAGGATCTCCTAGTTTTCGGCCTGACGGATGAAGTTTGGCTGCCAGAGTGGTAGAGGTCCAGCATGGTAGAGCACTCAGTACTTCCACTCAGTACCCTATTTTCAGTGTGGAATTCCCAACCTCACTTGTGTTTCATTTCTCTTAGTTTCCAGATTCTCTGTTTTACTCTTTCCAGGATGAGCTTCCGTTTCTTTGCAGTAGAGCGATTCATGACAGCAGTCACCTGCTGTGTGAAATCAGGGTAATCTAAGTGCTGTTATCTTAAAAAGAGTTTCTATCAAAACTCATTCTTTAGCCTAATAATCACCCCTCACACATGCATTCTGTGTGCCCTCAGTTCCTGGTGTTTCTGTTGGCTTTTTTCACTGTCAACCTAGTGTTCAGATTTCTCAGGATTATTAAGGCACTGCTTCTCACATGTCTCTCTTCAGCTTCCAAAATTAGTTGTACTTTTTTCTTTTATGTTCTCTTTGTCATTGTGGATTTTTAACTTTCTAAGAGAGTCCATATTAAAAAAAAACAAACAACTGACGTTTCAAGAATGTTTCAAAAGGGAAGAAAAAGTGCTTGTGTTCAACCTACTGTTAGGGCTCCCCCATCCCCAGGAATATAAAATAATAAATTATACAGGTTATATCTTGGTACATCGTGAATTTTTTAAAAAAAATTTGTTTATTTTTTAGAAAGAGGGGAAGGAGGGAGAAAGAGGGAAAAACATCAGTGTGAGTGAGAAACATCAATTGGTCACCCCTGACAGGCCTCCAGCCAGGGACCTGGTTCCCAACTGAGACACATGCCCTGACTGGTTTGCACCAGGAAGCTTTTGGTTTTTGGAACAACACCCAGCCCACTGAGCCACACCAGTCAGGGCAGTACGTCCTGAATTTTTAATTTTTTTTTTTGAGCAAAATATTTTATTAAAGTATAAAATGCAATATAAAACAAATTAAAAAATTCACAAAATTTTAGTGTGATGAATTTTCAGAAAGTGAACCCAGATCTACAACATCCAGATCTACAAATAAATATGAGCTGTGTTTACCAGGTCAGAGTGTGTCTTTCTTATAGTCAAGGGATTTTGTACTTGCTGCCTGGGAGTTAGTGAACATGGAGTTTTTCTGTCCCATGTAAGATATTTTAATTCTAATTGGTACAAATCTTCATTATCCCCTTAATACTTGTCATTTAATCCTGGCGGGGCAAAGCAGCACAAGCCATGGCTTCTTAATTGTTTGTTTTGTTTTGTTTTGTGTTTCTCCCATGTAATATTAGATATTAAAGTTTATTTCTCTTAGTCTACTAACTGCTGGGGAAAAGGAAGGAACTCAGAAGTCCTTGTCCTTCCTCCCCAGCCCTGTGAGAACCAGGGTGGCCAACAGTCTCAGGGAGCAGCAGTTGAAGGAAGTGCTCCCCTTTCCCCCATGGAGGCCAGGTCTTGGGGAGGTAGGTTGCATGTAGGTGCTGTTCTTAGTACAGCAATCTAAAGTTTCTTGGTGTGCCTTAGTTTGAAAGTTGATGGGAGGTGTGGGGTTTTGAAACCCTTTTGATTAGATCCCTGGACTTTATCAAGAACGCTTAGCTCTTACTGATTGCTGTCACTACCTTGTTTGGCAGCACATGCAGGGAAAAGTAACAGAAGTCCTCTTATGAAAAGTGACTCTTGTCACTTGGCTGATTTACCTCCTCCCCACCCCCATTATAGGAAACAGTTATATTAATTAATGTTGAGAGGAGGGAGGGAGATGGAAGAGAGGAGGGGTGTATGCCACCTAAACAAGCAGTTTCACTAGATAGTATGGTAAATCCGAGTGGGAGTGCATAAAAGGAAATCTTCACCCAACCTTAGGGTTTACTATAGGACATTAGAGGATGCCAACATTTGTACACATAATGAAGCCAGAAGCATGGAAATTTCAGTTAAACATTCTCTTCCTGCTCCTTTATAATTTTAAAAATATTTTAGTATTTCAAGGGAACTTTAGGATTACAGCCTGGAGATTCAGCACTATTCATCAATGGACTTCATATTGATTTAGATACGCAGGATATATTCAGGTATGGATAATATTTCCCATTCTCTGAAAAGTTTTTATAATGTATAGTTCCTTGTGGTGCGTTCAGATTGTTCTCCTTGATGTGTGACATGTTGCCATGCCTGATGACTTACCAGGCCCAGGAGGAGTACGTTTAGGTAGGGTCTATGTTCTCACTAGGATGAGTAGGATGACACTTTGCCATTTTTTTAAATCATAATGTCCATATAAGGCCTTGGTCATAAGGCCCAAGTGTCTTTCAAGAATGCCCTTTTAGAAGCTGTAGTTTTCCTGTTAACTAAGAAAACAGAGAAGAGCAGCATCATTTTACTCTGGGAAGCCTCTACTGTTTCAGAAAGTGTCTGTCTTACATATATTTTTAAATGCATACTTTTTTAATTTTGTTAAAATGTGATTTAGGACTAAATTGTTCTAAATTGTCCTCATGAATTTTTGGAAGGGTTGGTGGACAGTCAAGTGGAATTCACGTTTTATCCTTGGAATTAAAATTGACACAGTTGACACTATGGCTTCATAATAGTAAAGACAGAAGTTATTGCTGATGTTTCAGCAGAAGCAGTTTCCCCAGTGATATTGAGCCTTTTTTTCATATACTGCTTTAAAACAGAGCTAGTGAATTATTAGTAAATGATACTTTAAGAGATTGCCCATATTTGTTTTTATTTTTTTATTAAAAATATGTGTCTTTTAAAATTTTCAGAGTATTACATACTGAGTATTTGCTCATTGTTTAAAGTTTTAAATAGTATAGAAAAATCAAGGAACTAAAAAGTAAAGACTTTATCCTGTCTTCTTATTCCTTCACCAGCACCCGCCCCACCCCCCGCCCCGCCCAACCCCCAGCAAACCTCTGTTGGGTGTGACTTCTTCGAGCATTTTTTCTGTGGTTACATGTGTGTGTGTCTGTTGAAATTGAACTCATATTGAAACATATGTTAAACATATGTAATCTAGTATTTCTTTTTTTGGTGCTTTTCTCATAAGCTCTTTGGAGATAATTGTAGATTCATGTGCAGTCGTAAGCAATAACAGAGAGAGATTACTGTAGTGTAGTGTAGTGTTTTGAAAAATATGCAATGTAAAATCCAGATTTAGTATTATTTTGTACTCAAATTGTATGTCCATAATAGAGATCATTTCTATTCACAATGTAAACATGAACCAGGAAGTATGTCCTATCTGCTTTGTTCTACATACTTTGACAAGATGAAGCAAAGGCAAGAGGGCCCTGTTTTTGATTTGTCAACTAGTTTGATAGGAAATTGAGTTTGAACTGAAAACTTTTTTTTAAATGGCAAGGATTTTTTAAAAAATCTTTTTCTATAAAATACCTTTTTTTTTTTCCAGTCTGTTTGATGTATTGAGAAATGAAGCTCGGGTCATGGAGGGTCTACATAGACTGGGAATAGAAGGTCTTTCTCTGCATAACATTTTGAAACTGAACATCCAGCCCTCTGAGGCTGATTATGCTGTAGACATCAGGAGTCCTGCTATTTCGGTAGGTATTCTGTTAGAGTGTGCAGGGGCATCTGGCAAGGTATTTTGTTAGAATTTTTCACTTGTCTTTTATAAGAGGTAAGTTATTACTGCCATCTCTTTTGTCCACATCAAAGATTTACCACAACTGCTTATATGGAACTACGTGTATTTAATATATTAGGCTCTTAAGTCCTCCAAATGGTTCAGTTATTATGTTTAATATGGTTGAGAGAGTGATTTTTCCACTTTTGTATCTCTCTGTGGTTCAGTGGAACATGTCTTAGGAAAGTATTTAGTTTGTATTTTCTCAGTTGCGTACAAGTCTTGGGTGAGATTCTGTTTAGAAATAGCATTTTTTAGCTAATAAACTTCCTTAAATAGAATTTGATATTTTATATGGGAAGGGTTTATGTAGGTTAGTATCTGCTATATGATGCCTCTGGGCCTTAATCTTCACATCTGTAAAAGAGAGGAGTGAGAATCGAGCTCTCTAGGGCAGTCATGGTGAAAATGAGGTCAGCATTGGAGATATGCTTATACACCCTTAGCACTCTAGTCTTTTTTTTGGTCTTGTTTCTTCTGCATTTATTTTAGGGAAATTTTTTTGAATGAGAAATAATGTGGAACCTAGATGGTCATTATTTGAGTTGTCACCTGGTGATATAACTGCTTTTTGGTGAATACCTGTGTTATTTACTTTTCTGTTAAAAATGTTTTTAATTACAAAGGATAAAGAGAGTAACATAATTAACAACCATGTTTAACATAGATTAACATTTTTAACAATAATGTTTAACCAGATTAACATAATTAACAACCCATCATCATACTTACTAAATGCTAACATTTATTTTGGGTCAGATGTATCATTTACTTGGAAGAAAATAATGTTTCAAAGCCCTCTTTGTATCTCTCCCAGTTCCACCTCCTCCTCCCCGTAGGTAATTCCTGTTCTGAGGTTGGTGTGCATTCCTTCTGCCCCTTATTTTATCATTTTATTCCCTATTATATGTTTTTAAATTTTGAAAAATGCATTATCAGTATCCATCATCCAGTTTCCTTCATTATTCCACAATTTTTTTCAAGACTTGTGTAGGTTGATACATACAGATCTAGTTTTATGAGATGAGGTTTTATATTTTACTGAGTTTTAAAAAATTTTTTTACACATTCAAAGTTTAAAATTGAAGACATACAAAAGAGTGTATATTGAAGTCTCATCGCCAACTGTTCAGTTTTTCTCCCCAGAAGCAACAGGTATTATCAGTTACTTGTGTATCCTTCCAGAAATACTCTGTTTACATGAGGAAGGTAATATACTCATACTCTTCGACCCTGCCATTTTTGTATGAATGGTACATATCATTTCATTATCCACAGCTCTCTTTATGGGTATTAAGAAGTCTGTAATTTTTGGTGTTATAAGCAGTACTATCATGGCTCTTTTTGTTCCTCTCTCTTTGTGCATGCATGTAGACTTTATTTGGGGGTAGTACTAAAGGTGGAGTACTTAATAGTAGAATAGTAATAAATTCTTCAACATTATTAGGTCTTCTCTAAAGTGACTGTTCCAGAAACTGGCATTGGATGAGAATTCCCAGTGCTCTCTATCCTTGCCTACTCTTGGATCTTGACAGACTTTAAAATTTTTTTCAGTTTAATAAGGGTGAAATATTATTGTGCTTTCAGTTTATATTTCTCAGGTGACTAGTGCCAATGTACATTTTTCCTTGTGTTAATTGTCCATTTGAATTTCTTCTGTAATTTCTTATTTATATTCTTCACCAATTTCCATTCCCCATATATTGCTTGCCTTTTGTATTGATATGTTAACATTTCTATATATGTTCTTGACAGAAGTCCTTTATTGCTTTTGTAGGTTGCAAGTATATTTTATTCTTGGCTTCAGTTTCAGTCACTCTTTTTTCTGCTTGATCTTTATTTTTGAAAGGTCTTTTTCAGTGTAATTCTTTTTAAAATTATTTAAGATCTTATTTTTTTCTGCATATTTCACTAATGGTGACTAAACTGTATGCACCATGTTGTGGTCCACGCTCTCCCCCCCACCCCCCCCACCTCCCCGCAGTGGATCAACAATCTGGAGGTTGATGCCAGATACAATTCATGGCCTTCCAGTCTGCAAGAGTTGCTTCGACCCACCTTTCCTGGTGTTATCCGGCAGATCAGGAAAAACTTGCATAACATGGTAAGTAAAATTCTCTATTGTCTGACTATGAGCAGTGTGTCTGCCTTGCCTTCTCTCCTCACTTTTTGTCATATCCTGATGTCCACTTCTCTCCTTTACCAGCTACTTCTCCCTATCACTACCACTATTAAATACATTCTTTTTCTAGCACCATATTCACACTGAAAGGATTTTGAAATGTGTTAATCATTTGTCATTTGTAGGGCTGTGAGATATCAGTGCATTAGGAAATACTTCTCATCCTTAACCTGAAGATTTAGACTGTGTTATTTTAGTTTTAAGATAGGGCTCCCTTTTTACTAAGATGAGTATGCTGCTACTGTTTTTCTTGAGTATTTTAATCCCTAAAATTTAATAGTTCAGTTTCTTCTTTTAAGTAAGTCTGTCAGCTCCTGTCGTTATTCTTTATTTCACTGTTTTAGGCAGATGGTTGGAAGAAGGTTCTTAGTTGGTCCTCTTTTACCCACTCATTTCTTTCTCTTCCCTTATTAGCTCCCAAAGAGATAAGGGGCAAGTTAGTGCCAAGGTTGGCTTCCACAGAACGTTCAAGGGATGCTGTCATCTATACTTTCTTTACTCTTGAAACCACTTTTTTCTTTCCCAGTTAAAATTTCATATGTCTGAATTTTGTTAAATGAGATATTTTTTAAAGCACATGAGAACTTAATGATCGCTATTATTGTCTAAAAATTGAATTCTAAATGAATTCTGAATTCAGACATCCTTAGAAATCTAATGTGAATTTTCAGTGTGGGAGAGTTAATAAAATTTGCGTTTTTAAAGATGTAGTAGAAGAGAAGGAGTTAGCCATCTGGACTGTAACTCCCATGTCACTAGCATAGACCATAAGAAAATCCTTTATCCTTTTAGGGTCATGTTCTTTGAACATAAAGGGAGGGAAACTGCTCTTTGTGTGATTCTTTTCTTATGTGGTTCAAGAATAGCTGGAAAAATAAGGCCTTCAAGTATAAAGATTAAGGGCATTTTTATTGGCTCAGGAACTTTTCAATAAATGCAATTTCATGTGTTCCCTTCCCTTTCCCCTACAGGTTTTCATAGTTGATCCAGCTCATGAGACCACAGCAGAGTTGATTAACACAGCTGAGATGTTCCTCAGTAATCATATACCACTAAGGTAATACTGGTATTGGTTTGATGAGATAGCGTAGTAGGCTGAGGTTTTGTCATACTTAAATGCAAGTATGGTGCTGCTGAATTGTAGGATAATTAACAGTGGGGATCGTTAATGTCAGCTTTATCTTTTGCTCAGTATGAAGCCAATATCTGTAAAGAATTAGATTCTCAGTAATAGAGGCTTACTGTCATTGAATTATTAGTAAGGAACTTGTGCAAAAAATGTTTGTGGTCTGAGCTTGCTTTCCAGTGAAAGGGAATTTTCCTAAGTGAGTGTCCATATCACAAAGCCTATTTTCATTTTCAGTGGAGGTAAAAGGCTTTGCCAACTTTTGTTAGACTGTCAAGGACTAATGTATACAGCATTTTCTAGATGCAAGCAGACACTCTTTATTTCATTTGCATTGCCAAATATACCAACAGGGTACTTAAGTGGTTGGGATTCCCCTGTGCCTTTGAAGAACAATATTTTAAGGTTTTATATGTGTGTTTAGATATTCTCTTATGTTCTGAATAATATCTGGTAATTTTACATGTTGACAAAATTTGAATACTTAGAAAAAATGAAAACAAAGAAAAAAAGAACCCTTTAGCTAACAAATGTTACTGTGTATTCCATACCCAGCACTGAGCGAAATTCTGCAATAATATATAAGCCATAGTTCTACCTTCCTGGAAAAAATATTGTGCATATTTTCAGACACTTTAAGAAGCTATTTGATCAACTCTTAGGTTATATCCTATTAGTTATAAGTTCTTTAGAATTTGAAGGAAGAAAAAGATTTTAGACTGATATATTTGGGAACGATGAAGGTTTCATGGACAAATGGGATTTCAGATAGGCTTTGAAGAAAATAGAGGGTTTTTGCTCTGGCTGGTGTCGCTCAGTGGATTGAGTGCCGGCCTGCGAACAAAAGGGTCGTTGGTTCAATTCCCAGTCGGCACATGCCTGGGTTGTGGACCAGGTCTGCAGTAGGGGTTGCACAAGAGGCAACCACACATTGATGTTTCTCTCCCTTTCTTTCTCCATCTCTTCCTCCCCTCTCTCTAAACATAAATAAATAAATAAATAAAATATTTAAAAGAAAGAAAATAGAGGATTTTCATTAGAATAATAGAGATTTTGAGTTTAATGAAATATTTCATTTAAAACATGAATATATGTTTAGATGAGAAATAAACTACTGGATTATAGCAAGAGCTACGTTTTGATTAAAAGGGAAGTAGAAGAACACAGAAGAGTTGGCTCTTGGTACATAGTGGGCACTAATTTATTGAATTGCACTTAGGGACAAAAAGAGGGAATGTGGTCTTCATATTGCAGTGGTAAGTGAGAGGAAGGCACGGAACTCAAAGGCAATTGGGAGGTGTGCTGCCATCAGTTGGTGGAAAGCCTCAAAACAGACAGGCTGTTGTTTTACTCTTTGAGTTGATATGGGACATACACTGAGTTGCTGATGGGGTCAAGGAAAGGAAGGGGGCAAATCTGAGACTCTCCCTAATGCTACTTGATGAGGGACTGGGAGAAACATTATATAGCTAACAAAAACCCATACTCTTTATAGAAGTTGGAAACTTGGGGAGGGGAATTACTTTGTGAGGAAATAATTAGGCTCTGGTCCTTTTTTTTTGGTCTTCATTAGAAATAATATTTAGGTTGGTTCTGCCTGGAGTCTACTCATGATTTCTGTTATAAGTGGGATTTTAAAAAACAAAGTTATCTAAAAACAAAACTTCTCGCTGCCCCCATCCGCATATGCACACATTACATACATACCTCCTTAGAACTTGACGTTTGCTATGTTTTAATTTTTTTTTCTACTTTTAGACTATAGCTTTTTAAAAATTATTTAACCAGTATTGATAACATTATTATTAAACGTCCATAGTTGACATTAGGGTTCATTTTTTGAGCTGTACATTATATAGATCTTGACAAATATATAATGACATACTTCCACCATTACAGTTTCATATAGATTAATTTCACTACCCTAAAAATCCCTTCCTCTCCACCTACTTGTCCATTCCACCATCCCTCCTTATAATCCCCTGGCAACCACTGATCTTTTCACTGTCTCTGGTTTTGCCTTTTTTCAGAATTATGGTGTATGAGAGGGTACCTCAAAAAACAGAATTATCTTCTGGAGGGCAGGCTCTTTGTAGTACAGGCTTCTCCATTAGTTTAGTGTTCTTGAAACCCATCTGTATCAGTGTACCAGCTGGCATTGTTGTGAGAGGCTGAGTTTGGCTTCAGTGAATTTTATTTTTTGAAGGCTCAGTGCATTTGCCCATTTCACTATGGGTGATTTAGGAACACACCTCCCCACATCAAGCTGAGTGTTCAACAGTATTTGACCAAAAATAGCGTGAACCATGTGCCCCACCCTCCCTATTCTCCTGATGTCACCACAAGTGACATTTTTTGTTTCTGCGAATGAAAAAATGCTAAAAGGGAAATGTTTTGCCAATGTGGAAGAGGTGATACAAAAAACAGCAGAAGCACTAAAAGACATCAAAACTGACAAGTTCAAAAACTGTTTTGAGAAGTGGAAAAAATGTCTTGGTAGGCTCATCAGAGAGAACTTTGAAAGTGACTGCAGTTTAAACATGTAAGAATAAATGCACAGTTTTTAATAAATAAATTCCAGTGTTTTGGTGGTTCCCCCATGTATATAACTTCTTCAGATTGGCTTCTTTCACTTGGTTTACTTTTAAGGCTTGTCCATGTCTTTTTGTGGTTTGATGGCTTAATTCTTTTTATGGCTATATAATGCTCTGTTATATGGATATACCATAGGTCTTTTTTGTTTGTTTTTTTAGTCTATTCATCTGTTGACAGACATCTTGGTTGCTTACAAGTTTAATCAGTAAAACTTTATATAAAATCTGTGTAGGTTTTTGTGTGATAGAGGTTTTCAGTTCATTTGGGTAAATATTCAGGAGCACAATTGCTTTATCTAATTGTAAAATTATATTTAGTTTTATAAAAAACTGCCAAACTGTCTTCCAAAGTAGTTGTACCATTATGCATTCCCACCAGCAATGAATGAGAGTTCTTGTTGCTCCACACCCTCACCAGCATTTGGTGTTGCCAGTGTTTTCTGTTTTAGGCATTCTAATAGTTATGTCTCGTTACGGCTTTAATTTGAAATTGCTTAATGTTATGTGATGTTGAGCATATTTTATATACTTATTTGCCAACTGTATGCCTTGTTTGCTGAGGTGCCTATTCATACTTTTTACCCTTTTATAAATTTTTTTTTATTGTGAGTTTTAAAAGTTCTTTGTATATTCTGGATATTCATTCTTTATCAGATATGTGTTTTACACAGATTTTCTGCCATTCTGTGGCTTGTCTTTATTCTCTTAACAGTTTCTTTTGCAGATCAGAAGTTCTTAATTTAAATGAAGTTCACGTTATCAAATATTTCTTTGTCATGGGTCATGCTCTTGTTAGATCTAATAAGTCATAGACAAACTCCAGATCACAATAGAGTAGAAAATATTCTATTTTCTAGGAATTTTATGTTTTCTTATTTTGCATTTTTGTCTATGATCCATTTTGAGTTCATTTTTGTGAAGGTTATAAGGTCTCTGCCTAGAGTTATTATTTTACATACGGATGTTCAGTTGTTTCAGCACTATTTATTGAAAAGACTGACTTTTCTCTATTTAACAGCTTTTGCTCCGATGTGGAACCTACTGCCAGTGCAAGTTATTTTTCCTCTACTAGCCTTTAGATGTCTGATGGTACATCTTTGTGCTTTATTCCTTTATTTAAAATTTTAAAATGTAGTGAACTCTAATCTTATTTGTAGCTTTTTTGGTGATGACAGTAGTAAATGTTTTTATGCTTTTTATTTATCCAAGATTCTTATATTGCCCATGTTACATCTGAAAATCCCACTCCCCTTTCTATGTATTTTCACATTCTGAAAATTTTCGCTTTTCCTAATTTTTGCTTAAAAACAGAATAAATCTTTACGTAAAACTATAGCAGTACCCAGCATGTCAGTAAAGGTCTCATTCCACAATGTGGAAACAGCTTGCTTTAACAGTTGAAAGTCTACGCCAACTTTGGGAACCTGCTTTTTTATTCTGTAAGTGATGAATGCTTTTGCCAGCCATATTAGAGTAGGTTGTGAACTGAGTTTTTCAATTGTTAATAGTTTTTCTCTGTTAGCTACAATATTTATGTGGGGTACCTTTTAACTAGTTGCGTTCTTTTTAAAAAATCTTTTCAATCACAGTTCACATTCAATATTATTTTGTATTAGTTTCAGGTGTATAGCATAGTGGTTAGACAGTCATATACTTTACAATGTGCTCTTCCAATATTTCCAGTCACAATATCAGTGACTATTTCCTATGCTGTACTTTACATCTCCTTGACTATTCTGTGACTACCAATCTATACTTCTCAATCTCTTCATCTTTTTCACCTAGTACCCCAACTCCCTCCCCTCTGACAACCATCAGTCTTTTCAATTTTGTTTACTTTTTTCTTTAGATTCTATGTATAAGAGAAGTGTGTCCTTCTCTGTCTTACTTATTTCACTTAGCTTAATATTTTGTAGGTCCATTTATACTGTCGCAAATGGTAGATCATTTTTTTTGTGGCCAAGTAGTACTCCACTGTGTAAACGTAACGCAGTTCTTTTATCCACTTGTCTATTGATGGACACTTGAGTTGTTTCCGTAGCTTAGCTATTATAAATAACACTGAAATGAACATAGGGGTTCATTAACCTGTTGCATTCTTTTAAGATATTTCTGCATTTTTTTCTTTTATCCCTCAGAATTGGTTTAATCTTTGTGGTTAATGATTCTGAAGATGTGGATGGGATGCAAGATACTGGTGTGGCTATTATGAGAGCATATAATTATGTTGCCCAAGAAGCGGATGATTATCATGCCTTCCAAACTCTGACACATGTATGTTTTCATTCAAAATGGCGAATAATTTTTTAAATCTAACTTTAAGAATCAATATGTGGAAAGGGGATTCAATATTTCTGTAAAGAGAAAAAGTAAGAAATTATTCACATAAACCTTGTGTTTTATATTCCAAGATCAGTATTCCTTTATTGATTCACTGATGTTAACAATAGATTGCTATGTTTTCAGCTAAGATAATCTTCCTTAGGAACCCTATTAATGTATATTAATTAGTCTTCTGCCTTCTGGTGATTTGAAATAACTAGTTAATGTCTTTTGGTAAATGTGATGTTTTCTACTTGTTTAAAAAAAGTTTGTTTTTTCCCCCTGTTAAGACTATTGTGATGTTTTCATCAGGATTCAGTTTACTATTTAAATCATAAAATTCTTATTATCTGTTTACTCCATATTAACTAGAAATTTTAAAGTGTGCAACTTTTATGTATGTTTAAGGTACTTGCTCCAGTTCAAATAATTCTCCCTGTTTTTTTCTATTTTTGAATATAAAGTACTTTGCATTCAATACATTTAAAAATTATATTCAGAAGTAACAATTCTTTTGTTTACAGATTAGTAATAATTACTGAAAAACCACCATTAAAACAATTGATTTTCACCACTTTTATTTTACCTGTAAACATGAAGTCAGTGTGCTGTTTATTATGTTTATTGTTTAGAAATTCAGTCAGGGGTATTTTTTTATTAGTTAAAACGCATTATTTATTTGGCTCACATTTACCAAACACCCACCATTTACCAGACCTGATATTAGATGTATCGGATGCAAAGAAGAGTAAGGCATCACCTGTGTCCTCAGAGATCTTACAGTCTACTGGGGACACCTCCAAAGAGATGATTTAATATAGTGTGGGAAGCATAACTGGCTATAGCAGCACTAGGATCTCTGACCACTAAGGATGGCCATGGGCATGTTTTATGGAGTAGGAAGTTGTCTCAGCTCAGTACAGGAGGAAAAACTGGAGTCAGTTGAAGAATGGCCGCAAATCAAAAGTAATGATTCTAAGTCATTAGTGTGACTTGAGTGAGAGCAGAGTGGAGAGGGGAACCTAATCATTGAAGTCATTAGGCTAGGTAACAGATGTCCAGATCACAGATTTAAACTCCAGTTAAAAACATCATTCTGATGTATGTATGGAGATGAATCTGATGAATGGCAAAGAAAGTGGCAGGGATACCAATTCATGAGCTGTTGCTGTGATCTCTGAGCAATGATAATGATTAATGATAAAGTTAACCACTATTAAAAGATCACATTGTATCCTTGTAGCTATTTAACCATACATTATAGACACAGTTTTGTGGTTTGTTTTTAGGCTGCTTTTTAAAAACAGGAACTACACCATATATATTTTGCATCTTGTTTCCTCTAAACATCAAGAACATGAGATCTTATTTCAAGGAATACTTATAAATTTTCAGATTTTTAAAAATTTAACACAGTTTTGCATTTGGGACTTAATACAAGTATGAACTGATTGGGTCGTTTTAGCAATATGTAGTTTCTAACATGAAAAGACATCTTGAGGTATATGGAAAAGAGAGAATTGTTATTCCCATTTGACCCAATTTGACCTTTAAAGAAAAATAGTCATATTTTCCTTTACATTCAGACATCTTTTGTAGTAAACACTCTGGTGTTTGAATTTAAAAGTGTAGTTGGTTAACTGGTTTTTCTTTCTTCAGGTATATAACAAAGTAAGGACTGGAGAAAAGGTAAAAGTTGAACATGTGGTCAGTGTCTTGGAGAAGAAGTATCCATATGTAGAGGTGAATAGCATTTTGGGGATTGATTCTGCTTATGATCGGAATCGGAAGGTAAAAATTCTTTGGCACTTCTCCTGTATCTTTGTTTCCTGTATCTTTGGCATTTTGGCACTGCAACACTGTACTTAACTCCTTTATTTATTTATTTATTTATTTATTTATTTATTTATTTATTTATTTTTGAGGTTGTTGTTATTGGTGGTGGTGGTTAAAGTATTGGTATTTAGGTATATAGCATTTAAAAATTTAGAAACCAGATCACTTTTATGTGTTTGCAAATGTAGTTTATATTTCATTTTGTGAAGATATCATTGATTTTTAGGTGGCATATTAAGTATTAACCTGAAAAGGCATTTCTTTTTCACATTGCAATCGTAGTAGTACCTGTGTGATACACAAGGTCTGTCCAGAAAAAGTCCATCCATTGTTAATATAATGAGAATGGTTTGCATGATATCAGTGTAACCTGGCAGCCAAGGAGAGTGAACGGGAATGAGCATGTGTGAAAAATGACAACTTCACTGTACTAGTCATTGATAGTGGTAGATGCTGTTGAGTGAACATGTATACTGTGTGGCAGTGACATTCAAAATGATGAGTGAGTAGAGCATTGAATCTGCATCGAATTTTGCATTAAGCCTGAACATTCCTCCATGCAAGCTATTTGGATGATTCAGAAGGCTTCACCTATAGGCAACTGGTGACTGGCAGCTTCATCATGACAACATGCCTGCTCATACATCATGTCTCGAGCAGAGAGTTTTGGCTAAACATCAAATCACCCACGTGACTCAGCCCCTCCAGCAGCCCAGATTTTGTGCCTTGTGACTTCTGGCTTTTCCTAAAACTCAGATCACCTTTGAAAGGTGAAAGATTTCTGACCATCAGTGTGATTCAAGAAGATATGATGGGATAGCCGATAGTGACTGGGAGAGCTGTGTGAGGTCTGGAAGCACCTACTCTGAAGGGGACAGAGGTGTCATTGTCCTGTGTACAGTGTTTCCTATATCTTGAAACTTCTTCAATAAATGTCTCTATTTTTCATATTACATGGCTGGATACCTTCTGGACAGACCTCATATGTTCCAGATATAATCTATTGGAAGTATGATGTATGATTGCCAGGATACAAGATATAGCTTAATGTGTATTATTTATAGTTGTTCAGGATCAAGATGGAAATGTCTTAAGAAATGTAAAGAACAGAATGACAAAATGTGGATTTAGAAAAATATTTTAAAGATTTTATTTAAAGACAGTGTTCCTCTAGCAATACTAAGTACAGTAAAGGGCTCTTACCTATTGCAGGCAGGAATGAGGTGGTTAGTTTTTTGAAAATAAATGTTAATGGCAATGAATCAAAATATCTCCCAAACATTTTAATTTAAAACAATGAAAGGGTATTTGTTTAACATCTTTATTCCTCTTTTCAAATGAAGGGCAAGGCCTTTGGTTCTTCTATTTGTAAAGAAATGAGCTGTCATTTCTTTAGAAATCATACTCATAATGAATTGTTTCTAATTTTTCTTTCATCTGAGTACAAAATCCTTTGAGATTTTCATAACCTTCCTCCCTTCTAATTTTATAGATGTCCTTTACCTACAAACAACACCTACAAAAAAAACACCTAATTTTGTAGATGTCCACAAAATTAGCTGTTCCGTTCACATCTAATTCAACATCAGCTGTTTTTAGTTTTCTACCTTTCATGAGTTTTTCTAGTCATTGAATTTGTTTTCTTGTGCAACCTAACTTTTTTTTTGTACTCACATTTTATTGGCTGTATAATATTAAATTAAATTGTTTCACTAAGAAAAATGGTTGGGGACAGACATGCTGATATTTGGTAAACATACAGCTCAAATGAGAGGAGCAAATATGTGTGCATTCTAGAGAGTAGCTTACCAGTGTAAGAACTGAGCATGCTTATAGAAAGTCTTTGATGCATTGGACTTCAGGCCAAGGTGGAGGTGTAGGTAGACACACCTTGCCTCCTTGCACAACCATAACAATGATTGCAACTAACTTCAAAACTAAATACAACTGAACTGCCAGAAAATTGAACTGTATGGAAGTCGAACAACCAGAGATTTAAAGAAGCATTCATCCAGACAGGTAGGATGGGTGGAGATGGGGAGCCGGGGTGGAGACAATGTGGTGTGGTGGCAGCAATGATGTGACCACCGCAGGGCAGAGGTGGTGGCCAGTGGAATGGGTGGTCTCACATTCATGTGTGGCTGATAAAAAGTGGGAGGGAGCAAGTGATCCCAGCCCCAGGCTAGACTCCACAGCCCAGGATTCCAGCGCTGGGAAAAATAAAGCCTCATAACTTCTGACTGTAAAACCAGTGGGGGTTGGGGTAGTGGATGAACTGCTGGTCTCTCAGGAGAGTCCATTTAAAGGACCCGCAAGGTCCTAGAACATACACAAACCCACCCACTCTGGGATTTGGCAACAGGGCAGCAATTAGAGGGGTGCCAGTTGTATAAGGGAAGTGGGGAAAGTGACTGGAAATGGGGTGAGAGCCGAGCAAATAGATTGTTCCCTCTCTAACAATTTTACTGTTCATAGTTTTCATCTTTTTCTTAAATAAGTCCCTTTAACATTTCATGTAATAATGGTTTGGTGATGGTGAACTCTTCTAGCTATTTCTTCTTTGGGAAGCTTGTTATCTGCCTTCCATTCTAAATGATATTTTTGCTGGGTAGAGCAATCTTGGCTCTAGGTCCCCGCTATTTGTGACTTTGAATATTTCTTGCCAGTTGCTTCTAGCCTGCAAAATTTCTTTTTTCTTTTTTGTTTTGTTTTTCTTTTTTTTTTTTTAATTAATTTATTTACTTTTTAAATACATTTGTCTCTGCCTTCCCCCCACCTCTTTCCCTTGCCCCCTCCCACCTTCCCTCCCTCAGCTCTTCCGCTTTGGTTTTGTCCATGAGTCCTTGCTATATGTTCCTTGACTTTCCCCTTCCCTTCCCTTTCCCTGCCCCTCCCTTCCCTCTTGTCTCTGTTGATTTCTTTCCCTTTCAGTGTTGCTGGTCATATTTTCCTTGCTTCTTTGCATTGTTGGTTAGGTTCCGCTTATAGGTGAGATCATATGGTATTTGTCTTTCGCCCCCTGGCTTATTTCACCTACCATAATGCTCTCCAGTTCCATCCAGGCTGTTGCAAAGTTTAGTACTTCTTTTTTTCTTTCTGCTGCGTAGTATTCCATTGTGTATATGTACCATAATTTTTTGATCCAATCATCTACTGATGGGCATTTAGGTTGCTTCCAACACTTGGCTATTGTAAATTGTGCTGCTATGAACATTGGGGTGCATAGGTTCTTTTGTATTGGCGTTTTGGTGTTCTCAGGGTATAGTCCCAGCAGGGGAATCGCTGGATCAAAAGGCAGTTCCATTTTCAGCTTTCTGAGGAAATTCCACACTGCTTTCCATAGTGGCTGCACCAGTCTGCATTCCCACCAACAGTGGACTAGAGTTCCCTTTTCTCCACAGCCTCGCCAGCACCTGTTGTTTGTGGATCTGTTTATGATGGCCATTCTGACCGGTGTGAGGTGGTACCTCATGGTGGTTTTGATGTGCATTTCTCTGATGGCTAGTGATGCTGAGCATCCTTTCAAATGCCTCTGGGCCCTCTGTATCTCCTCCTTGGAAAAGCATCTGCCCAGGTCCTTTGCCCATTTTTTGATTGGATCGTTTGTCTTCTTGGAGTAAAGTCGAGTTCTTTGTATATCTTGGAGATCAAACCTCTATCTGATGTATCATTAGCAAATATATTTTCCCAAATGGTTGGCTCCCTTTTCATTTTGCTGATGTTTTCTTTAGCCGTGCAGAAGCTTCTTATTTTGATGAGGTCCCACTTGTTTATTCTTTCCTTTATGTCCCTTGCTTTAGAAGACATATCAGTGAAAAAATTGCTGCGTGGGATATCTGAGAGTTTCCTGCCAATGTTCTCCTCTAGGACTTTGATGGTGTTGCGACTTATATTTAAGTCTTTTATCCATCTTGAGTTTATTTTTGTGTATGGTGTCAGCTGATGATCCAATTTCAATTTTTTGCATGTAGCCATCCAGCTCTCTCAACACCATTTGTTGAAGAGGCTGTTATTGCCCCATTTTATGCTTCTGCCCCCTTTGTCGAATATTAGATGTCCATAGAGACCGGGGTTTATTTCTGGGCTTTCTATTCTGTTCCACTGGTCTATGGGTCTGTTCTTGTTCCAGTACCAGATTGTTTTGAGTATAGTTAGCCTGCAAAATTTCTTTTGAGAAATCAGCTGACAGTCTTATGAGAACTCCTTTGTAGGTAATTATCTGCTTTTCTCTTGCCACTTTTAAGATTCTCTCTTTATCTTTAATGTTTGGCATTTGAATTACGATGTGTCTTGGAGTAGGCCTCTTTGCATTCATCTTGTTTGGCACTCTGTGCTTCCTGGACTTGCATGTCTATTTCCTTCACCAAATTAGGGAAGTTTTCTTTCATTATTTTTTCAAATAGATTTCCCACTTCTTATTCTTTTTCTTCTCCTTCTGGCACCCCTATGATGTGAATGTTGGAACCCTTGAAGTTGTCCCAGAGGCTACTTACCCTATCCTCATTTTTGGTTTTTTTTTCCTTCTTTTTGTTCTGATTGGTATTGTTTTGCTTCCTTATGTTCCAAATCATTGATTTGATTCTCAGCTTTATTCACTCTACTGTTGTTTCCCTGTAAATTGTGACACAGCCTCCTGTATCACGTAAGCTGAGAACTCAAGGTGTGCCCTTCATGTGGGCTGAGTACATTCTTCTCTTGTAGTTGAGCCTTGGTTGCTGTTGGAATGTCAGAGGGAGGGATTTACCCAGGCCAGTCAGTTGCAAGGACTGGCTGTGATTATTGACTGCCAATCTCCATCCTCTAGGGAGGATCAGCTGTGCAGGGGAAGGGTGGTGGTGCTCTGACGTGACCTGTAGCTGTTCACTGAGTGCACAGGTCTTGGGGTTTCCTGGGTGGTACAGGCCAAGGCCAATGCCCACTTGTGTTTTGCCTAGGGCCACCCTGCCTGAGCTATA